GCAGTGTTTCATCTATGTTAAAGGGGGTTGGAGAATGAAAAAGATGCAGAGATGCTTTTGAACTCTATCAAAACTGGAAAGTGAAGACAGGGAAGATCCTGCCCATGGATGGCAGCAGTTTCCCCATTTTCGTCCTGATCTGATTCTTGTACAGGTAGAAGATAGCACAAAGAGTTAAGTATTTATTGGAGGAGTACAGGGAACTGACCAGTTTTCCAGCATCTTTAGTGATGTACAAGTCCCACTTGAGATTTGGGTTGCGTAATAGCCACACATGGTATGGAACCTCCCTGAGGTGACACACGTTTATCACAATCGGTGAAAATTCTGAGCTACATCATTGATGATGTAACATCACTAGTTTAGTTTTTGAGGAATTGAATGTTACCATTCAGTTTTTTTTTCCCCACCGAGCTGTTAGAACTCGCACAGAGGAGAGATCAGCAGTCAAGCTCTGGTCATCTTGAGTTTCGAAGTTACACCCAAAAATCATTGTATCACCAGCAAAGATATACACAAATGATCAGCATATACTCTGAGGCAGATCATTTATGTAAAGTAGAAAGAGGGTAGGACCGAGAAGAAATCCTTATAGGATGCCTGTGTTGATTGCTTGGATCTCAAAGAATGGCCATTAACAACAATCTTCATTAGGAAGAACTTGATAATTAAGAAGACTCTTCTGGTGATTCCATAGAGAGCTTGTGCAGTTATCCTTTATGCTACAGCTTGTCAAAGATCTTTGACATATATAATGTGATCGTCCTTGATATGTATTTGTTGTCAAGTGCCTCACTAATTCTGTGAGTAATAACAGGATATTAGCAGTGGACTGAGCCGACTGAAATCTGTACTGCTTGTAAGTCAGGACGTTCTCGTAGTGAGGTGATCAACAATCTTCTTGCCGATAATAGCTTCAAAAAGTTTGCTAATGACACTGATAAGTCTATACTGTGATTGGAATGTGTGCTCATCCACATTCTAGAAAACAGGGTGCATATGTGTGTGTGTGTGTGTTTTCTACAGCTGCCAAGAAAATATCAGGTCATCCCATAAGTTCTGTGCGAATTTTGAATAAAGAAAACAAATGACCAAATGTTACATTTAATTACAGATTCAATCAACAATGTATTTTCCCTAATTATCTATGACTTCTTTCCATCTATTAACAACCTTACTAATTCCATTACTGTAAAATTCTTTTGGCTTTGATTCGAAGAACTCACAAATGTTAGTTTTAACCTATTCTTGTGTTACAAAAGCTGTTTCTTCCAAATGATTCTGTAAGCTACGAAACAAATGATAGTCTGAAGGAGCAAGATCGGAAGAATAAGGTGGATGAGGAATTTTCTCCCAACCAAGTTCTTTGATCTTTTGTGACGTGATTCTTGCTGTGTGGGGTCGCACATTGTCCTGATGAAACATCACCTCCTTTCGATTCACAAGAGCAGGTCTTTTTTTCCTCAAAGCTTGGTTCAAATGCTCTAGATGCCGACAGTATATTTGAGCATTAATTGTTGCATTAGGTGGTAAGAATTCAAAGTGGATTATTCCTTGGCGATCCCACCAGATTGAAAGAAGAAGAGAATGGAGAGAAGAGATGTCAACTCTGGATTTGAGGTTGTTTTCAGAGAACTTTTCCAAGTTGTTGAAGATGATGATGAACAGTTGTATGGTTTGAACTGAGAACCACTGCCAATTCCTCAACTTCAATTTTCTTCAAGGGCTGCTTCAAGAAGCTTTTCATCAAACTCAACTGGACGTCTGGTTCGATCTTCATCTTCAAAGGTGAAATCTCCACCTCTGAATTTTGCAAACCATCTTCTGCAAGTTCTTTCATTCACACATTCCTCTCCATAAACTGAGTGAATGTTTCTAGCCGTCAAGCTGCTGAGTTTTCTTGAACTCAAAGCATTATGTGCCTCAAAATGATTCTTGGGGACTTCCATGTTAGCAGAGTTTTAATCAAACAAAATTTAATTTTATTGTTCTCTGAAATAAAATTTGATCAGTTTAAATGCAACATAAAAATAATGTTCAGCTCCATTAGACATTATAAAATACTCTTTAATTTTCGTTCAGTTAAAATTCGGACAGAACTTATGGGATGACCCGATAATTTGTGAACTTGAAAGGGTTTAGAATAAAATAGACATGTCTAAATTATTTAGCCAAACATGCTTGAATAAAAAATTTTTATATATATATATATATATATATATATATATATATATATATATATATATATATATATATATATATATAAAAATAAAAGAGAGAGAGATATGGGTATGATTAATAAACATACATATACTTGTAATGCATATATATATACTTTTTCTCAAGTGTTATATAATAGAGCTATTATTTATTAGATTGCAAGTTTGCATGAAACTGAGTCGTACTATTGACGATAGATAGATGTGGATTACTGAGCAGAATTCAAACCACAATTCCTTTGTTCACTTTGTGCTAATGCCCTTGGGAAAGGCATGAATACATCTTCCCATAACTATGGATTAAATAACAGGGTAGGCAATGTTGTCTTGCGTTGGAGGGTAGGCAGTTTAGAAGGAAAATTTCTAATTCAGACCTGAGAATAGCTATTTGGATACTTTTTGGGACAGTGTGTACCATCTCTTGGTGATTAGTTCTTCTGAAAAGTATGCCTGGTTCTCCACAAGCCTTTGCTAATATAATCAAATCATCTGCATGGATAGTTTAGCAGTTTAGTGCTAAACTGAACTGTTGGTTCATACATTGAAACTGAACTCATCTGTGTTCAAAAAAAAAAAAAAAAAAAAAACATTTTCACTGTATTTAATGAAGTAATTTTCTTCAAGCCATATTTAAGAAAAGTATTTTACTTTTGAAAGAATTTTTTAAAGAAAGGCTTTTCATTATTTTTTTCATATTTATCAATATGGATGGTTCAGATTTCATGATTTTACTAATAAGGAAAAAGAAAAAAAAACATAGAACATCATTGGAAAATTTGTAAACTTAAGGAATCAACACACATGTTAGGCTACAAAAAAACTCCTAAGTCGACCAAGCATAAAAATGAATACAATATGGGAACCAGTAATAAGGAGTGCCAGAGAAAAGCAATAATAACAACGAAAATTGCAATATGAGCTCTTGTAAGAACCATGCAATGATAACAGCAAAAATTGCAATACGAGTACTGGTAAAAAAACGATTGGTGAAAACATTAGGTTTATAATACCCAGAAATTCATACACAGATGTCCTCAAGGACACATGGCACAGTGGATGAACCAAATCATTAGTTAAATCCAGTGACAGGACCTGAAAAGAGTGTGAGTTCAATACCTGGTTAAGGCAGTGGAGAACTTGGGGGAGGGGAATTAACAGGAGATAACTGATAACTGACATCCATTAGACATATCACATGGATCTAAAACACTCTACACCAGCGAGTGAAATAAAGGGTTCAGTTCAACATTCCAACCACCTGAAGAAGGCCGGACATTGTGATAAATATGGCAACAAAGATGAGGATGATGGTCTGAGCAATATAAATAGTGTACATAAATCCTCATCTCAGAAATATAGACAGATAAAAAAAAAAAAAAAAAAAAAAAAAAATTATTCTAAATTCAGTTTGAAATATATTAAGGTATTTTTCTCTTTGGGATTATTAAATTTAATGTATTATCTTGGAGATAGAACTAAAATATTTATTTTTATAAATGCATTTTAAAATCGGATACTGCTGTTTTTAAAACATTTTGGGAGGGGGGGCAGACTCTTAGATGGATGTTCTTTGTTTTGAGATACAGAATTAAAAAGTAATTTACCACAATTCCATCATATGTTTACTTTTCTTAGATGACCTTAGATATCCTAAGCTATATCACAACACCTACCAGCCTAGAGTATTGGCCCCTGCGGACATCAGTTTTCTCATCCAGATAATGTCAGCAAGATACAAACAAATGTTGCAATGTTTAACCACAGAAAACAGAATAAAATAAAACCATGTATTTGTGTTGTACTCTTGTTAATTTTATTCTAAAGAATAGGTGTTCCTTGACTAAAATTGACTTGGATATTTTTTTAAATACAGATTTTATGAAAAAAAAAAAAAAAAAAAAAAAAAAAAAAATTATTATTTGGCTTTCATGTCTTTTCCCACCCACCAATTTTTCCTCACTGCTCCCCTGGATCTTTCTGCTATCCCCAGGGAGCAGTATCACCCACTTTGGGAATCCCAGTTCAAAATTAAACTGTCATAGGTAAAGTGGGATGAAAAGCTTTCCTAAGATTTAATAGGAATTGGTATTTTATTTAGTGCTACAACAGTCCTACATTACAAGGGCTACAATTAACCATTTCTTTTGGCAAAATTTAATGTAACCATCCGCAAAAAAGCAGTGTGTCAAAAGGACATTTCTTCTCTTGACATCAATGTTACAGTATACCACCGCAATGATTTTTGTTTTAAAAATCTATTTTTAAAATTTTAATACAACCCAAACATACAAAATTGGATTTATGCAGAAATGACAGAATAACTAAAATAACATTTATTCAATTTTCTAGAATTATTAACACATTTATTCTGCTTTCTAGAATTAACAGACCTCTATTCTGCTTTCTAGAATTAATAATACATGTTTATTCTAGAATTAATACCAAACTGTCATTTTCGTAATGTCGGATGTTACGGTGGGCATCAATGGGTTAAGTTTTAAATAACAATATTAGTAAAAAAATATTACACCACTTGTGTATATGGAATTTTACAAATATATGAAAGAACTCTTTGTTATTTTAAGTCAACTTAGATTAAAAAATATTTTATTTCTCAGATGAGAAAGACAGAGAAAAAAAATGTTGTGTAAATTTATGTCCATGTATATTATTTTAATAGAGAGAAAATGAGAGAGAGAGAGATATAGAGAGAGAAAGAGTGGAAGAGAAAGGGAGGAAGAAGGAAAGGAGAATTGTTTATCTTCCTGAAAGAGAGAGACTTTAATGTTCCCCCATATTGAACATGTTCCCCAATTTGCCAGCAGCACCTTGCTGAAACTGTCGCATCATTGTCTGAAGTCCTTGCATTCCTCCTGAAAGTGAAAGAAAATATTATAAGTAAAACAATAAAATTATTTTGGAATTAAAACAAATAACACAAGTTGATATAAAAGATTCTATAAATTTGGACAAAATTTTTTTTTATTTATATAAAATCATATAGTCATTATCCAAAAAAGAATCCTTTTTTTTTTTATATATATATTTTTAATAATAATAAATTTCCTAAATCATTATGTCCTCTATTGGTTCTTGTCGATCATTGCAACTTTGTCTCTTGACAATTTCAATCACACTGTAGTAGTTGTTGATATTTCTTTTGACTAACATATAATTTTTTTTTATTTCAGTTTTGAAACTTTTTTTTTTTTTTTTTTTTTAAGTATATCAAGGAAAATTTATTTTCAACAAAACAAGTTCAGTTGACCATTGATGACAATTCCAGAACAACGTAACTATAAACTATTTTTTTTCTATCCTCTGCCAGCCGCAATGATGGAGAAAGCATTACCTCAAACCATCGTTAGTGAGACACACTGCAAGAGCAACTCCATTTCGCGAGGCTTGTCCCTTAATCAAGACGACATTGCGCCAATCCTCCGAACGAACACCATCGAATGAGGGCCAATAACCCCTGAAGTCTCCACTGCTACAGAAGTTAAAAAAAAAAAAAAAAAAGATCTAGCAGCAAGAGAAGAATATTTAACTATTTTCATCTCTGTGTCCCGGGTGACGGATCCCGGCTCAACCATGGAACTGATCAAATATAATTATAATTTGACTAATAAATATAATAAAATGTATTAATTATAATCTGCAATGTTATTGATCCTGACCTGGCAGCTTGGCTTCAATCATTTTCCCAATGCTGTAAATTTCTTAGGTTAACTATGAAAGAGTGACACTAGAGCTGTGAAAACAAGGGTAGACTGAAAAGTTCATAGGCTGATTATGAAGGAATGATGCTAGAGCTGTGAAATCTTGCATGCATTAATTTCAACTCTTCTTATTAATAACTGCATAGATTGTTTCCTTCCAGATAAAATCTATGTGTTCAAAAAAAAAGAATGTTCATCCTGTTGGTCAAAAACATCAATAGCAGATACGTCATCATCACTCTGATACTGGTTCACAGCCAAGTGTTTTATCATGATAATAAAATCAGAATAATAAGGAAGGGTGATCATGCAGTTCGAAGCCAGTCATGCGCAGCAACTATTGAAACCAAGGATTTATGTGCTGGAGCATTGTCCTGATGAAACAAAATCCCTTTCATTAGTTTTCCTGGATGTCTGGCCTTGATAGCCTTTCGAAACTGCTTCAGCAAGTTGGCATAGTACTCTCCACTGATGGTGTGGCCCTTTTGAAGATAGTCAATAAACACAATGCTTTTTGCATCCCAAAAAACTGATGCCATCATCTTCCCTGCAGATGAAACAACTTTGGCCTTCTTTGAGCGGGTGAGGTGAGAAGTTTCCATTGAATGGTTTGTCTCTGGCTCAAAGTGATGAACACAACACTTATCCTGAGTTATGAAAGATTCAACTAAACTAGCAGGATCTGCCTCAAAAAATGTCAGATTTTCCCGTGATGTGATCAGCCCGGTGCACTTTTGATCACGTGACAGAAGACGTTTAATCCACCAAGCAGAAATCTTTGTTATGCCAAATTCATTTTGCAGAATATTTTAAACTCTTTATAGCATTGGCATTGTTGCAGGATGTCAAGACCTTGGGTAGTCTTCAAGTTTCTCACTTTCCCTCCTAAATTCAGCTGCCCACTTTTATGTGGTTGATAAAGTTAGAGCATCACCCTCTAATGTAGCAACCATGTCAGTAGGAATGTCTGTTTTTATGCAGGTACTTAATAATACCACAATGCCAGATTTTGTCCTTTTTCAAGAGAAGTCACTAGTAGTTACGTTTCAAGTCTTCTTTGAACAGTCAGGTGTTCATTTACCTGAAAGAATCAATGTTTTCCATGGTGGTGGCAGTTGCAGAATGCCCAGACCTTAGATCATCTTCAAGTTTCTCCCTTTCTCATTTAAATTCAGCTGCCCACTTTTACATGGTTGATAAATCAGGAGAGTCATCCCCTAATATAGTGACCATGTCAGCATGAATGTCCTTTGGGGGGGGGGGTCAACCCTTTTTCTGTAGGTACTTGATAACAGAATGATGCTAAAATTTGTCCATTTTCAAGAGAAGTTGCTACTAGTTACTTTTGAAGTCTTCTTTGAACACTCATATCTCAGATTACGTGGAAAGAAACAATGCAGTTATTAATAAGAAAAGTTGAAAATAATGTATGCAAGATTTCACAGCTCTCACATCACTCCTTTTCAGTCAACACTCATAGCTTCTCTTTTCATGGCAAATGTCCTAAAGAGCTTTTCTCTTTGGTACCTCAAATTCATGAATTGAAGTGCAGTACTAGATTGGTAGATTTTACTGTTGAAATTACTAGATAGAACTGTAAATTCTGTTCTAATAGTTTCTTCTCTCATATTTCTTGTTTACAGAACTCTTTTCTGGCTTCTTGCATTCCTATCAAATATGATCTTCAAAAGTCTTTAAAAAATTTAAATGCAACATCAATCATAGTCATTTATTTCCTTGAATTCTGCTCTTTTATTGTCCTCTCACAAATGTTTTCTGAGTTCCTTCGACTCTCAGTAACATTATTGGCTTTATTGCCTTGCTTGGGGGGAAATTATTAAAAAAACAAAAAAAAAAAAAAAAAACAAAACAAAAACCACCACCAAAAAAAAACAACAACAACAACCAAAAACAAAAGGCTTGGAAAGAAATTCATGAATATTAAAAAGAGCTACAACATTTAGTGGACTTGAGAAGTCTAATTTCTGGAAAAGCAGTTTTCATAAAAAGATTTTATAAATTTCAGTTGACTTTACTTGAACATTTCCAAAAGAAGAAACAACTAAAATGGTTAACACATAACTAGAAGAGAAAATAATGATATCTGTTAATATCTGAAGGACCAGTGGATAAAGACGTTGGTTACATCCAAAGAGTTGTGAGTTCAATACCAGGCCACAGCAGTGGTGAACCAAAACTTGGAGAGTTGAGTTAAAGGGAAATAACTGAGACATCCGGAAGAGGCATGGCACGTGGAACTAGAACAATCTACCCCAGTGGACGAAATAAAGGGGTCGGTTCAAAATTCCAATCACCTGAAGAAGGCCGGGGTGTACAACAGCCGAAACGTTGATTATATGGTAACGAAGATGAGGATAACAGTCCGAATGTCATAAACAATGCAAGTAAAATAATGATATAATAAAAATTTTGACTTTCCACAACACATTAAACTCAAGGTTTGGAAGGAAACTCCCATCAGTATTAGAAAGAGCTATAACATTTAGTGGACTTGAGAAGGCTAATTTTCTGAAAAGCAGTTTTCATAAAAAGATTTTATAAATTTCAGTTGACTGTACTTGAACACTTCCAACAGAATAAACAACTAAAATGGTTAACACATGAAAGTAGAAGAAAAAGTAGTAGAAAATGATATCTTGATTTTCCACACGACATTAAACATTGAAAAGAAACTCCTATCAGTATTAGAAAGAGCTATAACATTTAGCAGACTTAAGAAATCTATTTTCCAGAAAAACTGTTTTAAGAAAAAGATTCTATAAATTTCAACTGGTAATAAACAAACTGGTCAATGAATGCCAAGTATTTTTCTATACGGAAATAGCTAATATTACAGTTAGCCTATGGACAAATTTATTTGTTAATTTTGCTTACCCATTTGTTGAAGAATTCGAGGGTTCATCATCTTTGCCATCTGGTGATTCAACTTTGTCATCTGGGCAGAATTTACATTTTTGTTAATATCACCACCTGTCGAGGACAAAATGCAATTAGAAAAATATGTTGCAACATTCAATATAAAGGAACATAAAAAAGTGAAGCAGCCAATTTAACCTGAAACAACTTTTCCTTATAATGTTTTATCATCAATTGAATTAATGATATTGATTAAAAAGCAATTAACTAAACACCGAGTATTAAGGGAGTAAAAAAGGTTCAGAGAGAAAAAAGAAAAATTCAAGCAACTGACACAACACTTACATCAGTATATCACAATACTTATTGAGCTGTTGACATATATTGTGTGTCAATGACTAGATTTTTTTTCTGATGATGAAAAAAATAAAGCATACAGACCTATAATTATTTTATTGTGAGTGATGAAAAAATTGACAAAATTAATGTCTTACTAAGACATATGATACAGACCTAATAAAAAAAGCTGTTAACTTTCCACATTACCAAAAACAAAAGATTTGAAAGGAAACTCCCATCAGTACTAGAAAGTGCAATAGAAGTTAGGGGTTTTGAGAAGTCTAATTCCTGAAAAACCCTTTAAACAAACAAAAAAAAAAAAAAAAAAAAAAAGGAAAAAAATTGATAAATTTCAACTGATAGTAATAATGGTTGCTGAATGTTTACTGTATAGATATTTATTTTATCTATATAATAAATGCCGAAGTCAGTGTGTCACACTATTTCAATTAAAGGGACAGCTCTCATTACCTCATCTTCCATATAATTGCCAATGTCGGTGTAACACTTTTTCAATTAAAGGGACACAACTCTGAATAGCTTATCTCATATATAATAAATGCCAATGTCAGTGTGTCACTTTTTCCATTTTACTCCTAGAGGCCGTAGCCTAACATATCATACCATTTTGGAATCAGGCCAACTCTGTGAGTAAATTAAAAACATTCTGGGCCAGATCTGGAACCAAAATCCTGAAAGTTTGGATTCCTAAATTTTCATTACTGTGATTGTTTTTGGTGATTTTTTACATGAATATTTTTAGATAAATTTTTTGTATGATAATTTTTATAATTTGGAAATAATTGAAATGAATTGCAAAATCCAGTGAAAGTCACCCATGAAATAAAATTAATTGTTCATACAGAAAGTACATGAAATTGTCTTTAAATTAAGCAGCGTCAGAAGAATTATCAGTGAACTTTTAAAAGATAAGCTTAAATATTAATGCAATACTTAAATGCAGAGATCAATTTTGAGTTCTTCTGTAATTTATTGTTGCCTATTGTATCTACTCCTCCTGACCTATTGTAATGAAGTCCCAATCAAGAGCTCTCTGTAGGAGCTTGCTTAAATGCCACCCGATAAGGCGGCCTTTAAGCTAGCACAACAAATATTTTTTATTATTGCATCTCTTCTTGTCAATATTTTTAATTTGGTAGTAAATATTAATCATATTAATAGAATATTTATAGAATGAAAATCTCAGATGGAAATTTAGCTTAAGAATTCATATAGAAGAAACAATGTAACTGTGTGTGTGTGTGTGTGTGTGTGTGTGTGTGTGTGTATATATATATATATATATATATATATATATATTAGGTGTATTTTGGCACCAATAATTCTCTCAAGCATGCTTGGTTAAATGATATGGACAAGTTCTATCAATTATTTTTTTTATTTAATTTTTCAAATTTTAAAATTAGGTATTTTGTGTTATCAGTAAATTTGCCAAAGTTCCTATTTATTTTTATTTTATATCATTTTTTTCCCCCTGAGTACTTTTGAGTGTTGCTACATTTGTTTTTAAGGATTGTTCTGTGTATATTTATGCAACTGTTTTTTTTTTTTTTAATTGCAGCGTTCTCACATTTAATGGAACCAATTTCAAGTCACTCTTGTTGATGTCATATATAAACAGTCAAACTATTTTTTTTTTTTTTCAGTGTTAAAAAAAAAAAAAAAAACACACACTTCAACATATGGCCTGCTGTTGGATGCTTCTCTTATTACAACACCTTCCACAATTTGGAATCTTTCTTTCCACTGTGTTTTACATTAAATTTTGGTGTTTTCTACTATATATGAATAATCTAGAACTGAGCCCCAAGCTATTTTCTCTTTGCATTGGCAAGGCATTTTGGAACAAAAAGCCAAAACATACAGTGAATCAATTCAGAGAACTGAAGACAATCGCAACAGATGTACATGTTTCCACCTCTTAAAACCATTTTTCCAATAATCAATAAAATTGTATATTTTCAAATATTTTACAAAGAGTGGCATTATTTTAAATCAATATGGAGACATTTTTTTTTCAGAAGTAATTTAAAATTTCAGACAAGCATATTTGCGGGTAAATAAATTAAAAAAATGTTTCTCAAGAAAGTTTCTGAAGAAAAACTGGATGTTTTTTTTCCTGTAAGGTTTTGAAGATAAAGAAAAATAGCTGTTATAACATACCTACGGACAATAATGGGTATGTCCCCATTCACATAAATACAGTAGTAAATATTGTTGCAGATTCATTGTGAAATTCACTTGACTCAATTCTGACAGTTGAATACTACTTCTATGTGCCACTGGTGAATCTTATATGTATTGTTCTTGTCCTAAGTATTATCATTCATTACCAACCTTAGTGTGATTATTCTATTCAGTAACCTTCCCTAGGTTACAACAATAACCCACAGTTAATAATTAAAAATGAGTCATTTAAATAAAAATCTAATCCAACATCAATTAAAACAGTCTCCTGAAATTAAAAAAAAAAAAAAAAAAAAAAATTAATATTTGCTGTGTTACTATAGTTCAGTGTTTCTCAAACTTTTTCATTTCAGGACGCACTTGTAGAATAACAAACTCTGGGGCCAACTTTTTAATTTTTCATCAGAAAAAATTATTTAATAAATATTTTCATACTCATTATATTGGTACTCTTTCATTTTTCCTTGTTTTATTAATTAACCCATCTATTTTATTATATATATATATATATATATATATATATATATATATATATATATATATATATTAGATATAGATATATATAGAGAGAGATTGATGGAAATTTCTATTATCTGCAGTTGAGACTTTGAACTAAATGAAAAGTGAAATATCCTGTAACCCACAGTTAACAGGTTATGATGAATGCTGAGAATAACAAAAAAAAAAAAAAAAACAAAAAAAAAAAAAAAACAAAAAAAAACAAAAAGAAAAACAAAAAGATGCCCTCTTTGATTGCATTTGGAAGTAAGCAAAATCTTTTAATTTTAATGGAACAGAATTATAAAAAAAAAAAAGAAAAAACACCTAGAATCTTACCTTTGAAAAGTCCTTTAATTCCTCCCATTTTCTTGACCATCTGGGCAAACTTCTTGTATTGTTGCAACAGCTCACTAACTTCTCGTACAGAAACACCAGCACCCCGAGCAACCCTTTGGCAACGAGATGGTTGTCTTGCAAAAAGCCTTTCACCTTCCAAGCTGTCCAACTCTGTTAGCAGAAAATATATATCTTTTAAGGAAACTTTACAAAAATTCTCCAAAAGATAAATGACACTATCAAGTCACAAACAATTACTGCTTTGGTACTAGTTTACACTGGGTAAAAAAGTCAACACCAAGATCAATGACTTCTATGTTCTGTGTCCCTCCAATATGCAGGTGACCACAACTTCCTATCCTTTGTAGTTCTTAGTAACATTTGTCTTTTTATCATCCTTCCCAGCTCCTGTTCTGCCATCCAGTCACACAAGCTCATCAGGTAAGTGGCCCACTTCATCTGTGAACAGATTGTCCGGCATTCACTGCCAAATAAGAGATTAGATAGCAGTCCATTTTTCTTAAGATTTCCTTGTTGCTCACATGTTCCGTCCATGGTATTCTCAGCATCCTTCTGTAAAAACCAGATACCTATTGCTTTCAGTTTTATCTTCGTCTGTGAAGAAATTGTCCAGCATTAATTGTCAGAAAGAAGGATTGATATTACATAGCAGTTAAAAACTATTTTTTCTGTTTCTCAGGACATTTGTTGAAAGAACTATATCTGTTACTTCAAGTTCCTTCTTCATCTGTGAAGAGTTTGTACAGCAATCACTGCCTTATAAGAGATTAGATATTACATAGCAGTCCAGGATAATTTTCCTTGTTTCTAAGTACATTCATCAATAGAACCACATCTCTGTTGATTCAAGTCTCTTCTTCATCTGTGAAGAACTTGTCCATCATTCCCTCCCATATAAGAGATTAGATATTACATAGCAGTCCAGGATGCTTTTCTTTGTTTCTAAGTACATTCATCAATAGAACCATATCTCTGTTGATTCAAGTCTCTTCTTCATCTGTGAAGAAATTGTCCAGCATTCACTCCCATAGAAGAGATTAGATATTACATAGCAGTCCAGGATGCTTTTCTTTGTTTCTAAGGACATTCATCAATAGAACCACATCTCTGTTGATTCAAGTCTTTTCTTCATCTGTGAAGAGATTGTCCAGCATTCACTGCCATATAGGAGATCAGGTATTACACAGTAATCTAGCACTTTTTTTCTTTGTGTCAAAGGTTATTCATCAGTAGAACCATGTCGCTGTCCCTTCAAGTCTCTTCTACATCTGTCAAGAGATTATTCATTGCCATATATAGCTTACAGCCATATCATGTTGAAACTCTGGTTCTCATATTATTACTGGTTAAGCAGTCTGGTCAATACCTACATGGATGACCGCTTGGAAATACCAGGTTCTGCAAGCTTGGATGTGTGGGTGGTGTAATGGATAATTGTTTGAATTGAGAAATGGAGAACAAAGTTCAAATTCCAGTCAGGTTCATTATATTCACTTATGCACAAATACCATTGGGAAAGGTAAGAATCCACCTCTTCTCCTGCTAGCTATGGGATAAATAGTAGGACTTTTATAAGAAAATCATAATTATAAAAAAAATTACAATCCCAAAATATGATTTAAAATAACATGCAAAAGATGTAGTAAAAAAAAAAAAACACAAAAAACACAAAAAACAAACAACAAAACAGATCAATCCATGTCATAACATGGATATATATTTTAATATATTTTCTGTTTGTATGTTATTTTTATAGATACAAATATTTAAGTAAATGGTCTGTTTATAATAAGCAGTATTAACTACACTTATTTTGCTAACCAGACACTTCCTCTGTAGCTAAATGGTATAGCACATCAGGCTAGATGATGGTTCTGTTTCAATCCCTGTCAAAGGACATATATTTTCTATGAAATTTCTTGGGCATTCAGGCCGGTAAATGTAGTTAATACTGTTTATTAGAAACAGAACATTTACTTAAACATTTGTATCTATAAATATAATGTATAACCAGAAATATATTAAAATAATTGTCGTAGTCCATTTCATTATATATATATATATATATATATATATATATACACACACATTTTTTTTTTTTTTTAACTGCCTTCCCGAACCAGAAACTCACTTCTCCTACCATGACATTGGGGGTTGATTTAAATTTGTCTAAATTCATTTTGTAACTTCCTTTCTTATTCTTCTTTCTCTATGTCTCTTTCTTCTTTAAATGTCTAAATTTTAAGCCCCTATTTTTTTTTTTTTTTATTATTTCTTCACACTTCTGAAGTTGGCAAGGCCTACAAGTAAGTCTTGGGGACTAAAATATCTATTCAAATGAGGTAATTTTGAATTTCTATTCTATGTAATATATATATATATATATATATATATATATATATATATATATATATATAGTACTCTTTTTTAATACTTTTCTTAGCTTGACAGAACTTCTGTGTCACATTTTCAGCAACTACATTACCCAATTAAACTTTTGATTTGGGTCTCTCCAGTATATTCTTCTTTATGTGCTGTGTCAACTCAAAACATAGGCGACTATAGCTCTCCATAACTTCCTGTCCAGTATATAGCTTACTAATTGTGCTATGTCTTTTATCAACCACCATGCATCCAGTAAATAGTTTGTACTTTCTTCTCACTTTTCTTTAATAGTGTTCCTTTTTTATCTTCCATCAACTGTTTCTTTCCAGTGTCCATTTTGTACCAATTTTCTTTAAAAATTCCTTATTGCAAATCTGCTTTATGGTAATTCTCAGCATTCTTCTGCAGAACCACATCTCTGTTGCCTAGAATCTCGTCTTCATCTGTGAGGAAACTGTCCAGCATTGCTACATAGATGGATTGATATTACACAGCAGTTCAACACTTTTCTTTACTTCTAACTAAAATTTTCTTTCTTATAATTAGAACTAAATCTTTTACTTTGAGAGTGAGCCAGTTAGACTGTCAGAATCAATTGATTTTATACTAATGGTTCTTTTCCTTTTTTTTGTTTTGTTGTTTTTGAAAACTAAAAAAGAACCCTTCAGATTTCATTAAGATCTTCACTAAAAATAACAATACAAACTAATAACCAACTCATATCAAAAACTGAACACAATAATTTGTATTAGAAACCAGCCTCTTATGAGAAATAGGAGATATAATTATCTGCCCTTGGCAGTTTAAGGTTAGCCAATCAGCTTACAGTTGCTGATTGGCAAACTTTTCTACCTTTCTTTTTTGAAGAACACTCACTCTTGGTATGAAATGAACACTTGCAGAGTCAGCCTGCTCGACACTGTTATCACTACAGAGTCTGTAGATGGAGAAAACATTGACTCTTCTTTTGTAGAGAAGTTTGGTTGCAGATACCATCAAATTTGCAAGGACTTAATTGTAATATTGTTTAATACGACTTGTATAAATCAGAGGTCTGTCGTGTCCTATTCTTTATGTCTACATCCACCATATAGAAACCTTATGTGGGGCCCACTTCAATTCCTCATAATCTCTAATATGTGATTAAAAAAAAAAAAAAAAAAAAAGCTTTCACCAACTAACCTGTACCCAAAACTATCAGTGAGCCAGATATAACATCAAACTAAACCCAAAACCACCACAATTCAAAATCTTTATCTGGCCTTAAATAAATCAATAGTGGTTCAAGGTCTGTTAAAATGAAACAAAACCTGATGGAAAGAGATACTGAAAAGATATCAGCCTGCTCCACTTCCCAGAAATCTGACTGAGCATAAGATTTTCTTTTTTGAATCCTTTCAAGCTAAGACGAAGAAGTTATTATTCAGTTCCTCCTTGGATATAGTACAGAAAAGTTTTAAAATATCTTTATTATAGTCATTCACTTATTATAAATGTTAAATAAATAACATAAAAATAATTAAAAACAATGTAATTTAAAAAAGAAAATTAAATAGACATATATACGCAGGAAGAACTATTTTATAAAACAATATCCAAAGACTGACCCCGTCATACTTACCCTGATCATTCATACTGTCCATAATGGTCATGAGTTTCTTCAAACGAGCCATAGATTCTTGTTCACTACCTTTGCTCATAAAATCGCTTCCAAAACCAGGGATCATACCCTACAAAATAAACCCAAAATAAAATTGATATATAAATTATTATTATAAATTAATTGATTTAAAATAAGTTTTTTTTCGCTACACAGTTCTAACCATGTTTCAAAAATGGAAGCTAAAAGTCCCGAATTTAATTTTGTAATTAAATTAAAGGCATTAGTTCCATTTCATCCTCAAGCGAATTTTGGAGTAACTTTTAAAATTACTGGGTTTTAAAGACAGCTAAAAATCATAATTCATGTTTCCAAGGTTACAGATGAATCCAATTTACCAGACGAGGGTTGTCTCGGTGTCTATATTTTAATGTATCAGTTATTGCTACATTTTGGTAGTGGGTAGGGATGTATTTTTCAATGAAATCTAACATCCGTTAAAAGTGTGTCGTCTGGATTTAAAAAAACTTTTTATTGTTAACGGCTAAAATTCTTACAGCATTTTTTTCCTCGTATATTTAAAGATTTTTGGGGGTGTTTAGGTAAGAATACTTTTTATTTAACTACAATTTGAAATATTTTTACTTTTAATTTTTAATATACTATATTTCTTTCAAGAACAATTAAATGTAATTAGAATCCCTTACAGTTTGTAGGATTATTATCACATCAAGTATATTACAAATTTTTAAAAATTTATATTTAAATATTATTTAAGTAAAATTTTCATTTTTTTGATTTAGTAAACTTTATTTATTTAATTACAATTTAAAAGAAGTTTCGGTTAGAAGTCATTTTAATTAACTACAATTTTAAAATATTTTCATTATTAGTTTTTATAAACTACATATTTCATTTAATAAAAGTAAATCTATTAGAATTACTTACATTTAGTAAAATTATTTTTCTATATCAAGTATATTTATATTATGATTTTTTAAAATTTTTATATTTAAATATTATTTAAGTAAAATTATTTTTTTTCCTCATTTACGGCAAAAATAGCCAATTCATTTCTCTGATTTAGTAAACTTTATTTATTAAATTACAATTTAAAAGAAGTTTCGATTAGAAGTCATTTTAATTAACTACAATTTTAATTACAACTTTAAAGTATTTTCATTATTAGTTTTTTTAGACTATATTTCATTTAATAGAAGTAAATGTATTTGAATTACTTACATTAAGTAAAATTATTTTTCTATATCAAGTATATTTATATTACGAATTTTTAAAATTTTATATTTAAATACTATTTAAGTAAAAATAGTTTTTTTTGTTAAGTAAATTTTTTTTTTCTCTCACTTACGGCAAAAATAGCTAATTCATTTCTCTGATTTAGTAAACTTTATTTATTTTATTACAATTTAAAATTTAAAAGAAGCTTAGGTTAGAATTCATTTTAATTAACTTTTTTTTTTTTTTTTAATGAAAAAAGAAGAAATGTAATAGAATTACTTACCGTATATAAAATTAATTTTTCATGTTAAATATATGTATGTATATTACCTGATCCTATTTTATAAATTTATTTTTAATTATTATTTAAGGAAAATTTTTGACAATGACGGCATAAAATAGCTATTTCATTTCTCTGATTCAGTAAATTTTTATTTTTATAAACTTAGTAATATATAGTTTCTCATGTATGCACAAAGGACATGGGTCATTTAATGACCTACATATTCTAGCTTTTCTTATTAACTTCCATTTTACTGTAGGTGTTTTATTTGATTCTTTTAGGTTCCAGAACTATTTCGATAGAGATGTCTGATTTTTATATTTATTTATCCTAAATGAACTTTGATGTTGGTTGAATCTTTTTTGAACTCATGGCTAGTGCAACCTATATATATTTTTATGTTTTCAGGACTTTCAATCAAAGAGATATTGCATTGGTATACTAATGATTCAGTTCAACATTTATTTTGTAGAAGGCAATTACGAGGGTTTCTACAGTTACATAATTTTTGTTTATTTTCATCAGTTTTTATTTTTATTTTTCCATTGTCTAAATTTTTTGGGTTTTGGTATAAGTGTTTATTTAAGATATTAGCATTATGGTTCTTAATAATTTTTTCTAAGTTTTCCGTAAATCAATTAATTTATAATATTAATGCTCAAGTAAATTTACATTGAGCACTATTTTGTAAAAATAAAAATATCTATAAGAACACCGGATTATATATCTTACTGTTCTTTCTTTTTATTTATATACATATATAAATTATTATGTATAAAAATATATAAAAATTACTATTTACACTTTTTATATCTGGACTATAGTCCTATTTATATTCTAACTACTATCTGAATATAAATAGTGTAAATAATGATAACTCCTCTCACCCCAGAAATTCAAACAGAAAATAAAAAAAATTATACAGGGTGAGGCAAAAGTCATGTATCTCAGGGAGATACTTTATTAAAAGTATAATTACACATGAAAATTGTATTACTAGTTATTTAATTGTTATGTATGCTGTTCAAAATGTCCTCCTCCTTTTTCAAAACACATTTCAATTCTGTGCCTGCATGATTCCTTAACACATCAAAGAATTTCCTCTGTCATTTTACTGCATTCATATTTAATTCCTTCTTAAAGTTCCTCAATATTTTTGGGGCGTGTCTGATATACAACTGATTTCAAATGGCCCTACAGAAAAAAAATCCAAGGGTGTGAGGTCTGGTGGCCTCTCAACAGGACCTATCAAAACAAATTAGACATTTAAAACATGATTAATTAACCCCTATGGTGTGCAACTTTCACCTCATCATGTATATAAAAATAGCCAGAATTCTCCCCCCCCCACCTCAAATTAAACAGTCCCCAAAGAATAGGTTTTGGTTTGGTTTGGTTTGTTTTGTTTTACAGCATATCAACCACATGCCAACAAAATTTTTGTTACTGGTAATATTTTTTCCTTCAAAAATGTATTGCTGGCAATAATTTTTTTAAAAAAGTATTTCTGGTATTAAAATCTATTTTTACACTTTCATAGTGTTTTGACTCCAGTTTGGAGGTTAACTATTTGCCCATAGATGGGACCCAAGCAGGTACTACCACCCTGGGTCAGGATGGACCTGGGAACACCAGCAATTAAGAGGTGATTCCATGCTCCTCAAAATCTCCTGATCAGAGGCCTTGCTGTTGGACATAGTTTATCGTCTTACCCAGGACAGAAAGAATAGGGAGCTTTTTAGTGACACAAAACCTGAAGGAAATAAACAAATAAAAAACATTGCAAGTCCAAAGTTGCATGAAACATTTTTTTTTCTTTTTGGTTTGGTTTATTTTACAGCATATCAACCTCAATGGGTTATTTAATGCTGGCAAGATTTGCTGGTAATATTTTTTTCAAAAATGTATTGCTGCTAATATTTCTTTTCTCCAAAAATGTATTGCTGCTAATATTACTTTTCTCCAAAAATGTATTGCTGGTATTAAAACCTATTTTTTACACTTTCATAGTGTTTTGACCCCAGTTTGGGGTTAACTATTTGTCCATAGTTGGGACCCTAACAGGTTCTACTACCCTGGGTCAGGTTGGACCTGGGAACACCAGCAATTAAGAGGTGGTTCCACACTCCTCAAAGCTTCCTGATCAGAGGCCTTGCTGTTGGATATAGTTTATCATCTTACCCAGGATGTTTTCTTTTTGTGGGGAGGAAAAGACAAGTGAGGGGCTTTAATTTTAATTGAACCTGAGTGCATGGAGTTCTATTCCTCTTTGTTGTCCCCCCCATCAAAATTGTAGGGTCAAAAGAAAATTTTATTATGGCTCAAGGGGAAAAAAAAAAAAAGAAAGATTTTTTTTTTATTCTTACCATAATTTGTCCGAATGGTCCCATTTTCATGATGTTTTGGAACTGTTCATACATGTCTCGCAATGTGAACTGACCTGGATGAGAAGGAAAGATAATTCTACATTGAAAACAAGGAGAAAAAGCCCCCCCCCCCACTTCAAATACTGCAGTTTCAATGCAATAAAAAAAAAGTTATTTTAAACATTGAAATTTTCAATTTCTTTTTTTTTTTCTTTTAAAATTACTGAAACAAAAAACAGATTTGAGGATTATCATAGATACTCGTTTATAAGCTTAGTTCATGTATAGTGTGACCCCAGAATTTCTTTTGTGGAAAATCTCATTTTTTCATATAGCTCGTGCCAGCTTCTGATCAATACTAGTAGGCCTACCATCGGCAAATATTGTAATAAAAGAATTATTTCCTTTGGTGTATTGTAAATAACTTCTTCCTGTAGCATGACACGTAATACTTTGTGTATAATTTATATATGAATAGTGGAGTATGCTTTTGTAATGCTTCTCAATTTTGTTGAATCCTATTGATAATATTGTATATTCCTTGCTTTTCTATAAACTGTGATCTTCAAAAATTTAAACGCAATATCAATTATCTTCTGTCTTTGTAAATGCTGTTCCTTCCCCCACTCTCCTTAATAATATTTTTTTCAGGTTTTCACTTTCAGTAATCTCTTGCAGCTTAGTGGCTTTGACACTTCTTGCCGGTTGGTCCTTGATCAATTCCTGCCACTGGTCATTGAAGTGGCCATCCCAGTCTGTGCTTTGCCATGTTGTCCCTTTTGATCACGGAGCCAGCAAAGACTGAGTTGTCAGCAATTGTAGTGTTGGTTCAAACCACAGTGAGGCTATGTCACAAGAAAAAAAAATAAAATAAATAAACAATGTTCTTTACGGACAAAATAAAAGACAGGAAATTCTTCGGGTCAATTTTCTATGTGGCATATATCGTTCTTTGTACAGAAATATTAACCCTTCCCACTTTGAATTCTATCGTGACACTTTGCTCATTTTAGCTAAGTCTAGAACAAGGCTGAAGTTGGGAGATCTCTTTGCAGCAAGTCACGTGGGCTTCGGCAGCATGGTCGTCTCTCGTTTGCTTCTCAAAAGCAACTCTATCTTTGTCACTTCAATGCTCTGCTTATATTGACTCTTACCCAAGACTGGCATGGGGGCTGATGTGTTTGGGGACTCACGGCTTCCTGTCTTCCAACTAGCATTCTTTGTTGTCTGGCTTTGGAAAATTAATTATCTCTCCATATTTGGGAGATCCCTTCTTCCTATGGGCAGTGGTCAAGGTACTGATCTGCCTATATATCCCTTATTTATGCCTCACACCTCCCAATGGGTGTAAGCAATTCCTCCGTCTCTCTCAGTATCTCATCTAAGCCTTTCACCATGGTTGTCATTTTGACAAATCAGATTTTTAAACTTTATTTGTGAAAGAGTTAGGCTTAACCTCTGGTCATTAATCATAATAATCACTAAGTTTTGTCAGCACATTTTTCCCAGTTTAAGGTTTTGTCTTTATAATCAGAAATTTACCAGCTGTTTCCTCCGACAGCTATCTCCATATCTTGTTAACTCAATTGCACTTATGAACTTAGGTCTTTACATAAAGAAATTCTATTTCTTAAGTCATTTACAATTTCCACTTTTTGATAGTAGGAATAAATCAGTTTTCCAATTCTATCTTCTCAATCGACTTTCTTTTTTGGCTGGTCCCTAGGAGATGTTTTCGTAACTTCCACTTCAATCAATACTCAGCCCAGCTCTTCTCTTTGATAATATCTTTCTCCAAAACAACATCATGATTTTTTTTTTTTCCAAGCCATGATGTAAATCCGTTTTCTGCAGTTAAAGGTAATGAAATTTTGAGTGGATAGTAATTTATTAACCTTTTTACTGTGTATCCACAGTAAAAAGGTTAATAAATTACTTTCTCTCTTAATTAAAACTGCATTTTTCAAATCAAAATTATAGTCAGATTTATTACCAAAAAAGTGACTAATGCACTGAATATGCGGTTTTGGAAATAATGCCTTCTGTTTTGATATATTCCTTTAAGACATTTTTATGTTTATACATTTTTTTATAGATACAAATATTTAAGTAAATGCTCTGTTTATAATAAACAGTATTAATAACATTTACCAGCCTGAATGTTCGAGAAATTTTCATAGAAAATATTCGTCCTCCAACAGGAATCGAACCTGTATCCTATACAGAACCATTATTTAGCCTGACATGCCTTAACCAATCGAACCACGGAGGATCGTTCGATTAGCAAGGTCGATTTTACTGCTTTTAAACTTCAATCTTCCATGAATCTCTCACGTACATTCATATCTGCTCAAAGCGTATCCAAATGTAAATAAATGATGTCACACATTATGAAATGGACAAAGTCTGACATTTTTATCTATAAAAAAGAATGTATAAACATAAAAATGTCTTAAAATAATTGTTGGACTTTGTCCATTTCATAATATATTCCTTTCTATAAATTCTTAAATGTTTTGCCAATCTCTTTCTTGTGACATTTATTAGTCCAGAGCGTAAATTCCTACTTTAGGCCATTGATATTTTGTTTTGTATTAATTAAATCTCTTATTGTTTCAGAAGTAGTTGCAACAAATTTTATATTAAATTTAGATTAATTCTTTTTAATTGTAGTTGCTGTTGAGTTGGTAATCCAGTTGTTTACTATTAAACCTGATTTCAAAGAGATCTGTAAGAAATGTGGCATTTTTCTTACCTTGTTTTAATTTCTTCATGAGTTCTTCATTATCATCCAACTTCAATTCATTCACTCTGTCTATGAGTCCTTCAATATCTCCCATACCCAAAAGTTTGCTGACAAATGGCTGGACTTTAAATGGTTCAAAATCATCAATATGTTCTCCAGTACCAATAAAAATCACAGGACTCTTTGTGGCAGCCACACTGAAGAACAATTAAAATATTTTGTTCGTTAGAAAACAAATAACTAATTTCAAAAGTAGTTTTAAAGAATATATGAAAACAAATAAAAAAACGTTAAAAATAAAATAAAAAATGTCTAACCAAAATTAGCATTGGGAGTTCCCTTTCCTTTGATTAATTTGGAAACACCTGGATGTTTGGTCTACATGCCAATGTGGAACCAGACCAATGCAGGGAGTACATTAATGAACGATTTACATGGTCATTTTAATTGTTTACTTTATTTGCAAAGATTACATGTGATGAGGGCTGAAGAATGAATTGCCTGAAATGTGAGTTGTTTTTTTTCTTCCTGTTTAGTAGATTCTTTAAAGAAAAGTATTGAAGAAGGCATAGTGGAGTAATGGATAGTGTCTCAGATTGAGGAATCGGAGAGCTTAGTTCAAATTCCGGTTGAATCCATTACATTCACTTACGTGCTAATATCCTTGAAAAAGGTATGAATCCTCTTCTCCCCTCAGCTATGGGTAAATAGCAGGACAGACCAAGTTCTATAGCTTTGGATGGCAACTGGTCTACTGCAGAAAAAAATAGCAACCTACCTTGGAAAAAAAAAATCTGCCTCATCAGTCATGTATCAAAAGATACATGATTGCCTAAGTGTGTATCACACATGGCACATAACTGACTGACTGAATACCTGACATTGTACTCTAAACACAAAATCTAATAATATTTAACAATTATTCAACAAAACAATAATTAATAATCAGAGATTGTTAATTAGTCTTTATTGTCTTAAATTTAAAAGATACTCCATGATAAAGTTGTTTTTAAAAATTTTTGGAAGTAAAAAAATGTTATATTTTTAGTATTTAGAACTGAAATTAGAAAAAAAAATTATAAATAGAATAGGAATGAGTTTAATTTTAAAGTTAATGTTAAGTGTTTAATGATTGATTCAATTTTTTTGTTTTTACAGCTTATCAAACCAATGCAGGTTATTTAAAGGCAGAAAATATTTTTTAGTTGGTGGGGATAATAATGATTTACTGATACAAGCCTTACTAATTAACCCATAGTTGGAGGGATACGAGGTGGATTCATATATTTCCCCAAGGGTATTTGCATATAAGTGAATATAACAAACCCAATTGGAATTTGAACTCAGCTCTCTGATTTACAATTCTGAATAGTTATCCATAACACCACCCACACACAATCACCTATCTAGATACTAACCATGTTCTATGTTGCTTAACTTTGGCAATCTTAAGAAAACCAGTGTTTCAATATGATATGGTTGTAACCTATAAATATTTTTAGGCAAACATAAACATACAAACATTATGTAAGAGATAAAAAGGAGCTTAAAAAAAAAAAAAAAAAAAAAAAAAAGTTTTTATTTTAACAAATTAATTTTTAATTGCTGGATTTATTATTCCCCTCCCTCTTTACCAATTAACCTGTTTGTATTCTGTATTATTTCAAACTACTGTTCTCATCTTGGTTGATATGGATTTTGTTATAGATAATGTTTTGACCAAGTACTCTCTGGTCATCATTAGATATCTCCCATTGATTGGCTGATATGGGATATCTGTTGATATTGTGATATTTCATCCCAGTGATTACAGTTATTTGTCCTGCTGAATTAGTATTTCACTACCAGATCCAAGGATTGAACTCATTGCCACTATGAGACTGTTTGTAAGAATACAAGAATATTGATACTTACTCCTCTCAGAAATGAAATACTAACCTGTTTGTGCAGAACTATTTCCTGTGTCCCGATTGCATTTGCAATAAAGCATAAATACATGTTTTTTTTTTTTTTAAAAGCAAGAAATAAATAGTTATGCACAACTTACGCACTGAGGGCCCCTCCACCTTTTGCATGACCATCAAGCTTCGTAATGATAACAGAGCCAATATCTACTTTTTCTTTGAAGGCACGTGCCTTAAAAAAAAAAAAAAAAAACAATAAGTCAACATTATTTTGCATCAATGTTTAAAATTTGTTTTGCCTCTTTTAATTCTCATAACAAAAATAAGGATCATGCAGCAAGAATTTTGTTTACTTTTTTTTAAAGTTGCCCCAATTTCTAAGATGAAACTTTTCCACTATTTATTTTTGACTAGTTTATCTTTCATCTTGTTGTCGCTTAGGTGGTTTAAATTCTATGACTATTAAAGAAGCAGGCAGAATTAGAAATAGAAAAGTAGCCTCTGATAAGATTTGAATTCATATTTGTTGTATCCTTAAAGAGGTTACAAACAGACAAAAGTGGTACTCGAGTGAAAGGAACAGCAACACATGCGTAGATGAAAGAAAGAGAGGTTTATTGTAAAAGAGAATACATTACTGAAAGACAGGGAGTTGGGTGGCAGGCTAGTAATTCCTGAAGCAAGCCCCCAGGTATATCCTGTGCTCACTATATATAGCTACTGATATAGTCAGTTCCCAATAGGTGATAGAGAGTGTGGGACATTCCATTACAACAATATTCACCTCCTTGGGAGCTTGTCCGACATGTAGGACACCTTTATGTAACAAAATACAACAGGATCATTTGGGTGTAATTGGATACGGACAGAGATAAAAGTGTCTGATTGGCTATTGGCAAACAGAATCTGTCAAGGAAGATCCTGATTGCTTGTTTGGCTTCAAACAACTTTGCCAGTGCCTTTGAGAAACAAGAAAAAAAATTATCTTACTTATTATAAAACGCAGGGTGTGTGTGTGTGTGTGTGTGTGTGTGTGTGTGTGTGTCTGTAACGTTTATATGTTGGATCAATTTCCTACATTTTTTAGCCGATTTCAACAAAACTTCACAAGACTACATAAAATTACCTTGTGGTGGTTCTAATGGGGGCCGAAAATGGGAAAAATACAATTGTTTTTAATAAAATCAATTTGAAAACATGATTAAGACACATCATGAGAATGAAAGGGGAGAACTCACCCACGAAAATGTAAACAAAAAAGCATAGCATGATGAAAAAGACGCGAACTTGGACGAAAAACAAAATTTTATCGTCTAATGTTCATATTATTATTAAAGAGGAAAGATCAAAGTATTTTGGGGTATTTTTTTACATTTTTTAATCGTTCCTAGCACGTCTGAAATTTTTTTGTTAAAAATATTGTTTTTTTTGGGTCAAAAAAAAAAAAAAAAAAAAAAAAAAAAAGGGCAGATAATCATTTTCAATCATTTTTTTGATTTGATAAAAAAAGATTAAAATCTTACTTTGATATTCTTTTAAAAGTCAATTATCATTTTTTCAAAACCGATTTTAATAAAAACAGATATTATACTGTTTATTTAAAATATTTTGAACCAAGCTTAACTTAGCTTCTCTGCCTGAAAAAATGTAATTTGAAAATAAAACAAAAGCAGGTCATAACCTTTCACATGGCTTGACGATTGACGAAAGGCACATTCATGACGTTTAGATAACTTACGGGAGGAGAATTCTTTCTCGGATGGAAGGAAGTGAAATTATTTAAGTGAACAAATTATTTACCTTGTTACTTTTAAGGAAAACTTTCAAGCGCTCTAATTTTTTTTTTTTTTTGTACTTAGCTTTCATTTTTTACGTTTACGATGCTTTATGGAAAATATAAAGAAATTAAAAAATAAGACTGTTAATAGTGAGATTAAATTTCATAAGAAAAAGGTATCTAATTAATTTAGGTACCTTTCTTATGAAATTTTATCAAAAATGTACATAAAATACTATAATTTTATGTACATTTATTACATTTACTGTGTTATTTGTATTTCCATTCATTTTATTATTAATTTTGATATTTCATTTATGGAAAAATGTCATAACTGAGATTAATATAAAAATAAGATCATATAAATTAAAGTCTAGCAGTAGTTAAATTTCATAAGATGATACTGTTACTTGTAGGTACCCTTCTCAGTTGAAATTGAAACTCAAATTAACTTCTCCATACGTGTTTACATAAAAGTAAAAGGGCTTAACAGCGGAGAACAATGCTGAACTCAAATAATGCAACTAAATTGTATTCTGGTTGGTCTTCCGTACTTGATAATTACTGTCTGACTATAAACACAAAAATTACATTTCTTAATTACCATGGCTAATCCGATTGGTCCAAATTATACAATTTTCAAAGCGCTAGACAATGACAATCTCACACGGACATTTTGAAAGGTTGATGTTGCTTTTAAGTAATGTTAAAATATTTTTTAAAATTCAATTTAAACATTTTTTAAAAATCTTTTTAAAATTAAAGAAATAAGAAATAATTGTATTAAAAATTCAATTTTCATTGAAAAAATTTTTTGCTTTCAGAAAATATTGTCCATATTCATAAAACAAATTAAAACAAATAAAAGCATTTGAAACTAAATAATATATTTGTTTTATTGAGTTTTTGTATGTTACAATTCACAGCTGATTTTCAGGTACGTTGGCCAAAAAAAAAAAAAAATGATTTGCATTCTTCAAAGCCTTGTGCTTTTAACTATTGTAATCACTAAAACCGATGGTCTCAATTTCTAGAGTTTTTCATAAAATTAGTTATGGGGTGTTAATAAATATAAAAAAAATATTTCTGCCATGACTTTAATAAAAAAAAAAAAAATATATATTTATAATAATTTCAATCATCTGTGAATAGTTTCTGAAAGTTTCATTAACATCTGACAATTATTTTTATTTTTGCAAGATTTTCCAAATTAATGTGTAAATACAAAAAAATGCGCTAAAAATTATCTATGTTATTTACTACCCCTTGTTGCGACAAAGAGAAACAAGGTTTTTTAAATCAAAATTTAGAATATTCTAAAAAGATGGAAAAATTTTTTAAAAATAATTAAAAAAAAAATTAGTCTATCCTCTTCATAAAAAAATAAGCATTTTGACGATAAAATTTTGTTTTCATAAACTTTGGCGTCTTTTTCATCAGACTATGCTCTATGTTTTAGCGATTCCGTGGAGTGACTTAGGTTAAAAAACCCAGGTTGTTTGTGTGTGTGTGTGTGTGTGTGTGTGTGTGTGTGTGTGTGTGTGTGTTCCTTTATATATAGGATCGGTTTCTTACATTTTTCAGCCGATAAAACAAACATCCACTTTTTTTTTTCGGCAGGTAGTATTTCTTATTGTCTTGCACACTTTTTTTTTTTATTTACATTCAGAATGCTTTAAAAATTTCATTTACAAGACAATTGTTTATAATAAAATTCTATTCACCAATCGATAGACTCATAACGATTGTAAACAATGTTTTTGTTTGACCAATTCGTAAAAAAAAAAAAATAATTAAGACATGCGTGTCCGTCAACCTTAAACAATAATCTTTGTCAATTTTATTTTTCAGTCTTTATGATGGTCGATACTTGATCTATCTCTTACTGTTACATCCCCGGGCTCTACTGCTAGTATTTTATAAGTAAAGAAAAGGAAAAAATCTATTTTAATCTAGCAAATCAACCCTGAACAATGAACAGAGAGAAAGCTAGTTGGAAAATGATGTGCTTCAGTTATTTGATTCAACAGGAACAGTGATAGCAGGAGAAGCAAGAAAAGACATGAAGCAGGAACCTAATATTTTTACCATCTATATGTTATTGTCGTACTTTGTCAGCCATCTTATGTTTTGGAAAAGGAATCACTTTCAAAGTGAAATAAACATAAAATAATGTTTTTGCTCCTGTCAAGGTTTTTCCGCAATATTCATTTTTTTTTTTTTTTTTTTATCAGTTGCATTTAGATCTCTAAGGTACCAATTTTATGCCATATCAATTTGGCCACAGACCCCAGGCAGCAGACAAATCTTATTGAGCAAAATTCATTTTGGATCTAAAGGGAGGCAACTCCATAATTTATGCTGCTTATGTTCACAGGATATAAAATTGACAAAGCAACAGTAAAAAAGACAAATTTCTGGCCAATTTTCTGAGATGGCAAATTATCTTTAACTTATTGAACTCATAGAAATTTCATGGGTGTTGACAACTAAGATTATCCATTAGCTCACACCATTGCTCTTCTCTCTCCTTTTCTTTATATCCCTTCCAATACAACTAAAATTATCCATTATCTTATACCTATGCATAACTCTCACTCTTTACCTGTATCTTCTCATTCTCTCCCTTATCCCTTCCAATACAACTAAAATTATCCATTATCTCTTGCTTCTGTCTTCTCTCACTTTTTCTCTACTTTCACATTCATTCTCTTATCCCACTAGCTGGACCCATAGAAATTCTACTTGTGCTGATAATTAAAATTATCTATTATCTCATGCCTCTGTTCTTATCATTCATTCTCTGCCAGTATCTTCTAATTATTTCCTTTATCCCTTCTAACTTGCCACTGGCCATCCGTATTTTTATATAAATGTTATATAAAAATGGATTAGTGTTATTTATATAAAAAGAATAAAGAATGAGCAAAATATTTTCAACTGGAACCTCTCATATCATCTTTTTTGCTTAGCCTCATTATAAATAATTTTAATGTATTACAATGTTTATGCCTTTCACTCTTGGTCTCCTGATATCCAGCCACCAAACCTAGCTATGTCCTTCATCACCATTCTTTCCTTTTCTCTATCTGCATGTATATATTTTTTCATTCTCACATTTTTTTTATTTTTCCAGAATAATATATCTCCATTAATTGAATAAAGTGTTTGGTTTTAAATTCCCAACCATGATGCACCTGAAGAAGTTTAGAAGTCACAATAGTCAAATTGTAACTATAACCACCAAGATTAGAATACCAGAGGGAATGGAATATAAATTAGTCAAAAGTTAATTAAATTTAAACGTTTGGTATTTAACATATTTTGCATATTGTTATTATCACTGACACATTAAATGTACACAATTCTGCTTAAGTTCTTAAATTAAAAATTTAGAGCAATATTGATGGCCTAAAATACATTTTGAATACTTAATAGGATTAATTAGTTAAAGGCAACATGCTTTCATGTCTAAACTCTGAGTTTTATACTAAAAAGTGAAAGAATATTAGAGAACAATTTGTTTTAAGTTCAAATAACACAGTACAGGTTGAGTATCTGAAATTCAAATATGTGAAAACCTCCAAAATCCAAAAGTTTTTCATGTGCTAACATAACTTGCCACAAATTGAAAATTACAGAAAGCAACATGGCTACTCATAGCATGATTATTGCATTGTAGTGTTACAAATAAAATGCTGACTTTTTTTCAGTTTACATTATATTTAATGAATAGTAACCAGAATTCATGCGTTATTTTTATACAAATACTATACTTGTATGTATTGTAACATTTTAATCAAAACATGGAATCATTGGTAGAGACTGATAGCTTGCTGAATTTTCCTGTTGCCCTTTTTGTTGATCCAGAGACAACACAGAATGCAACAGATCACAATTAAATAAAGTAGAAAGAGCAATAAAATAATTGTACATTTTAACTTTTGAAAGGAGCAAAACAAAAAAAAGAAAAGAAAAAAAAAAAAAAAAATCACTAACCTGCGATTCACAAGCCTGACCAATGGAAGCATCCATCACAAAGACAACATTATTAGGATGCTGAAAAAAAAAAAAAAAAAAAAAAAAAAAATCAATATTGTAGATAGAAGACAATGTTTAGTTTCAATTCTGATCATTTTTCTGTCTTCTTCAAGAATTACTTTTCCCTTTTTGATAAGATAAAGAACAAATAGGAAATGTTTATCAATTTTTAACATGTTTCACTTTTATTAAAGCTTCATCAGAGAATGAGAAATGGAGAAAAAGAATAAAGAAATTCTGGTATTTTTACTTTTGTGTTGTTTGATTTTCATTGTTTAATCAGGTTTCACATGCATTCAACTTGTTTAACAAACATTAGTATAATTTGTGGCGTTTCAAATTCAAGTAGAAATGCCATGTCCATTCGAAATTTCAAGAAATTAACAGATTCTAAACCTAACTGAAAAAAAAAAAAAAAAAAAACGTAAATATTGCTTTATGTAAGGGTATAATAATTCAAGTTTCTCTATGTGGCTTTCAGATGATCATATATGTTCATGTGTGTATATCTTGTCAACATTATGTTTGTTGGTCGGTTTTTTGTATGTGGATTTGGGAATGTTTTTACATATATATGGTTTATTTTAGATAAATATATGTTAGATTCTTTAAGAATGGATTCAATAAAGGTTGGTGATGTAATATGCTTTTGATGTGTGTTTATAGTTGGTATTTTTCCCCTCTTTACAATTTATAGTGATAATTGAAAAACCTATCCTATTTTTTTTTCTAAATCTGTTAATTTAGGAGAAACATGTGTACAGGCCTACTATAAATGCCTAGAAAAATTGTTGACCACTGAACAAATATTTTAAAATGTTATAATCTCATATTTAACATCATTGTCAACAAAATAAAAACTTTAAATAAAAGAAATATACAACAGGTTTGGTTATTTATTTTACTATAAACCTCTGATCTCTGAATTTTATGAACAATTTCAACTTGTGAGTCCCTAACTAAAGAGGTTATGTAGCTTACAACACTAAAGAGGATAAATATGTTTCTTCATAATTCTATGAAAGACATTCAGAAGAAGACTTTTACTGTCATGATTTTGGGAAGACTGGGCCTTTCTGATAACAATAAATAGTTGATTACATTAAGCAAAGGATAGAAAAATTACATTTACTGATATAAATTCTGTTATCAAATTCATAGAAAAGATTTTTATAAAAATAATTAATACAAAATTTATTGACATGTCTATTTTTTCTTTACTGCTTTCTTTTTTTCAATTATGCAATATCTCAGTCCCATAATAATTGCTACATTTACATACACATTTCATACACAAAATGTAACAACTATTTTGGGACAGAGGTAGTAAAAATTATTATCTCTGTCCCATATTAGTTGTTACATTTTCATACACTAAATGTATCAACTATTTTGGGACAGAGGTAGTAAAAATTATTATCCCTGTCCCATATTAGTTGTTACATTTGCATACACATTTCATACACTAAATGTAATCACTATTAAGGAACTAAAGTATTTCTAGTCATTAGCCATGAAAAAATTCACAGATAACTTCAAACAAGAGAAAAGTGGTTGAAACACTTTTCTCATAAGGATCAATTTATTTATTATTTTTTTTTTTTGGTTGGCTACAGTTTACCAAGCTGCTTAAGAAAAACAGTAGCGATTTATTGCTGGCTTACTAAGTCACTTTTTTTTTTTACCTTTTTTTTTAAAATGAAATAATTGAATCAAATTTCCTAAACAGCAATTAGAAAATTAATATCAAGCTTGGACAAAAATAAATAAAATGAAATGACAATATTTATGAAATTTGTAAAAAGAATTTTATAGTTGTGTTAACAGGGAAAATGCTTATCACCAGTTTTCCACCTCTATTAGTATCTGTTCTAGTTTCAAGTGTTAACTAGCAAACTACACCTCTCAAGTTGTCATAAAAATGATTAGTAATTCAGTTAAAAATGCTACTGTAGTACAATTAGGTAGTAGTAACACCACATGGAAATATACACTTTCCTTTTCACTAAGAGAAGGACAAAGAAAACTCTCCCTCTTACCTATTATACAGTTCCTTTCTTTCCTTCTATTGTTCCTATCCTTGGTAACTGACAGAACCCAGACATAGCTTATGTGGGTTGGTGAATGTCATAAAATTCAACCAATGACAACATGACCCGCCAAAAATCAAATGGAAAACATGGATGTCTCAGGCACAATAAAAAGAAGAAAAACATGTGCACAAAGAAGAAGTGGGAAACAGTTTGAGGTGCATGATTGGAGATTCATCGGATGTGAGTTTGACCAGACATACAACTCCAGAAGAAAAGAAGAAAGAACGAATTCAATGAATTAATTTCTGTCAGCCAAAAACACGACTCTGTATGAACTCTCAAATCACAAAAAGGACTAAAACGATAATCACCCACTTTAATCACTGTAATCAAATGGAGTCAACAATAAACTATAGACAGTAAATTTGGCCTTTACTTAGGTATTAGCCCAACCTTCATCTCTATATATCATACTACTTACATTTTTTTTATCACATTTCTTCCCCATAAACCTATCTATCAATTCCTTTTCCTGAAGCCAATTAATTTAGTCTACAAATTTCATCATTACTTTTTCTACTAATCTATACTCTTGTTCTGCATGTTTGTATGTACAACTGTTAGTGTTTGCTATGATCAAAGTGTAGTATCTGCTTGATCTGCAGCACTTCTGAATTGAAATCAGTCATGCTTTCTGCTAAAGAAATTTGTCTAATATTCATTGAGAAGGAATTTAGAAAAGTGGGGGGGAAAGATGATATGAGAAAAGATTTTGTTTTGTCTTTCTTAAAGGTTATATCTTCTCCAATTACCTCACGGTCTTGTTCTACAAGTTTCATACTACTTTCACTAGTAAAATTGCATCAGCCAACTAATGTTTTGGGAATACCTAAGTTCTCTCTGCACAAATTACCAAGGTACTTTGTTTATTCACTAATAAATAAGTTTCAGTATCTGTTGTAGCTTCAAGTATGAACTGTTAAACTAAAATGATTTCTTGGTTTGGTTTGGTTTATTTTACGGCATATCAACCTCAATGGGTTATTTAATGCCAACAAGATTTTTAGGACAGGTTGGTATGAATTGAAGAAATCAGTTTGTAGATTAGGTTTCATTGATGTATTTTTGTAAAGAAGTTTTTAGCTGAGAGTCAAATGTATTGCTGGTAATATTTTTTTTTAATATATTGCTGGTAATTTTACAATAAAAATCTATTTTCATACTTTCATAGTGTCTTGACCCCAGTTTCTGGGACCCTAACAGGTGCTACCACCCAGATCAGCAATTAAAAATTTAAATTTTTAGCAATTTAAAGCAATTAAAAGGTGGTTCCATGCTCCTCAAAATCTCCCAATCAGAGGCCTTGCTGCCAGATGTAGTTTATAGTCATACCCAGGATGACAGATTTCTTGAACCTACAAGTTTTACCACTAGATCTATAAACTTGTCAAACAAATTATCAGTAATTCAGTTAAAAATACAACTTAGATATTTTTCACATATCCTTTCTGTAAACCTACCTACCAGTTGTTTTTCTGAATCAATTAATCCCATCCTGTTCCTATAAATTTCATCAATATCATCACTTCACTTGATTTTTATTATTTAAAAAAATATTAAAAAAAAAAAATTCTTATTAATCAGGTGATAAATCACTTCTGTTTTCCTTTAAGCAAGCCAAGTAAACAATAGTCAATAGTTTTCTTTCACTTTATTTTTTTTAATTTTTTTTTTTTAAAAAAGAAAAAAAAAGAAAAAAAAAAACAAACCTTCCTCTGGGTTCATTAAATATGTTGTAGAAATGGCATAATTGCCCAACAAACAGAATTGAAAAAGTTTGTAATAAGCAATAACCAAGAAAAAGAAAAGAACGGAGAAAAATAATATAAAGCAAGCAAACAATATATGCAAGGCAAAAAGTTCACAAACTAAGAATTGGGATCGACATAAAAGAGCAAATTCAGATAAACAACCATAGCATTCTGACTGCAAGGCAAGACAGACTGGGACTGAGTCATATGAAAGCAAGAACTGGCCTATTTTATTGGCTAGGAAGAAATCCCAGCATGCATTCGTGTGCTTCTGTCTATAAATTGGGATGTGGAAAGTATTTTGCAAACATTCAAATTTGAATTGGAACTAACATATATAAACCAAATTTCAGAGCTGTACATGGAAGGCTTTGGTTGTGCATATTGAACAGACAAGCTTTGCTCAATGCTAGACATAGCTTATTTTCAGAGCCAACTGCCAGAAGTAACAGACTATGGGTGTCAGGACGAACAAACTAAAAATAAGAGTGGGTAGCCACAGATTTTTGTTTTCTAGAACCAATACAGAGTTTTTCTATGTTTTATTCAGTGGTAATGGTAAGATTAGCCATTTTCATACAAGGAAACATTTCACTGACCAACCAGCTGGTTGAAATTTATAAGATTTTTCTCTTAAAAGCATTTTTCAGAAAACTAGGTTTCTCAAGTCCACTATTGTCACTCTAGTACAATTAGGTAGTAGTAACACCACATGGAAATATACACTTTCCTTTTCACTAAGAAGGACAAAGAAAACTCTCCCTCTTACCTATTATACAGTTCCTTTCCTTCTATTGTTCCTATCCTTGGTAACTGACAGAACCCAGACATAGCTAGTACTGACGGGAGTTTTCTTCCTAACCTTTTCTTTAAGGTAGTGTGGAAAGAAAATATCTTCATTATATCATTACTTTCCCTTCTAGTTACATGTCATGTCCATTTTAGTTGCTGCTGCTGCTGCTGGAAGTTTTCAAGTGATGTGGTTTTAGTTATTTGGTAAAGTTCTTTGTGATTCTGTAGCACTATTCTTAGAGATCTGATAAGACAGATACTAGTATGAAAAAAAAAAAAAAATAGTACTACCTTTAATGAAATCTGCTCAATTTTAATAGGAGTAGATAGTTTTACTTCTTGTCTGGTTCACACTCCACCCCAATCTTTTGAACAGGAGTAGAGGTTTATCCCTTGTTTTCTGTGTAGGATTGGGTTTTCAGTTTCTGTTATAGTCTCCTTCAAGTCTATACTTTTAACCGCTTTGCCAGAACCCTGAAATTTTATTTACTAATTATTTTTTTTTTCTCTTCAATAGGAGTAGATATGTTTGCCTATCATCTGGTTCACACTTCTTCTCAGTCTTCTGAATAAGAGTAGAGGTTTATCCTTTGTTTCTTGTTTAGGATTAGGCTTCTGGTTCCTTCTAAAGCTGCGGTACACAATGTGGAGTTCTTGCCCACAGTGAGGCAATTCAATTTTTAAGGGGGGGTATTTCGAAAATGAGTTATTAACAGAGAATTTTTTTCTAGTATATCTGTGTGAATATGAGTATGTATGCGAGTTAATACATACAGTGCACATATAATATGCATATATAAAAATATTTGCGTGTATGTATGTACATGTGTAATTACATATGTACTATATATATGTAGCCTATCTTGAAACTTGTTTAGAGCAAGTTAATGGCCTTTTAGACTTCCTTCATGAATAGGAGTTCACTTTTTGAATAATAAGACTTATATGTCATGGGGAGGGGGGCATCAATACTTTAGAGATGATTAGGTGGGGCATGACCCCAAAAAGTTGAGAACCAGTGTTCTAAAGTCTTTTATTCTCTTCAAATCCCATTAGCCCCTTGCGTCTTAGTGAATTTATAGTCTTGCTTGGTGGATTAAAAAAGATTATAAAGCCCACAATTCAACCATAAGATGCTTTTAGATCTATTCTGTCTTATAAGAATCTTCATACTCACAATGGCATTGTATACTTGTAACATTTCTTCAAAGAGGGCATCTTCTTGCTTGTGTCGTCCACTTGTGTCAACAACAATGATTTCAAAATTCTCTGCTTTGAATTTCTCTACACCTTCTTGGGCAATAACAACAGGATCAATTTCTGTATAGCTGAAGAAAAAAAAAAAAAAAAAAAAACAAAAATTAATATCAGTTACAATTAATGAGACAAAAAAAAAAAAAAACATAAAACATCACATGCTCTAAAAGCTCACGCCTACAAATACAAGAGAGATGTGTTAGGACAATCAATCTAACTGCCCCGTTTTGCATCGAAATGATACTAGACATAAGTTTGATTTCACTAATTCCAACCTTATTTATTAAAAAGAACAATTCTTTAAGGAGAAAATACATTGAAAACTTAATAACATTCTTACCAAATATAAGCATTAAGACATCTAAAACATTACATAACATTTTTTCTTTATATTTCCTTTATGTAGATAAGCTTATGTAGAAAACAGAAAATGGTTATTTGATAACTATGTTGCGGGAGGATATGATTCGACCTGTTAAGCAAATGTATGTAATATTGATAAAAAGTTATGGACATAATGATATGCTAACCTAAGTGTCAGTAAATATTTGTAGAATTGAATTGTGAATTAAATATTGAAGAGAATGTAAATAAACGATCGTTTTACTCGTACAAGTGTTCTTAATTCTAATGCATATCTCTCACACACATGTATAATATGTGTGTGTGCGTGCATCTTGTTTGAAAATGTTTTATTAAATAAACTTGACATAGAAGCGTTGTCAGATTTTTTAGGGAGTTTTTCTTTGTATCAAATAAGTCATTGGGTGTCAGGAGGAAATTTATAAATAACCAGTCAAAATTGTGTATAATGTCCAGAATACCCATTGTTGGCCATTTTCAAAGAAAGCATGTAGATGTTAAGAGCTACCCAGTGTACTGTTTCTGATGTTAATGAGTTTGAAATGAATATGGTTTCATATACTATGGTGGTGGAATAGATTTTTAGTGTCACATAACTGGCTCAAAGCTCACTCAGTCTCTCTCAGAGATGTGGTTAGTAAAATAAGTAAAGCGATCTTAGAATGTGTCAACTTTCAAATAAAAAAAAAAAAAAACTTAATCTTTTATACAGTGGAGAATGTTTTAATATTGATAAAAAGTTATGGACATAATGATATGCTAACCTAAGTGTCAGTAAATATTTGTAGAGAATTTTTAAATATTGGAGAATGTAAATTCGTTTTACTCATTACAAGTGTTCTTAATTCTAATGCATATCTCTCACACACATGTATAATATGTGTGTGCGTGCATCTTGTTTGAAAATGTTTTATTAAATAAACTTGACATAGAAAGCGTTGTCAGATTTTTTTTGGAGTTTTCTTTGTATCAAATAAGTCATTGGGTGTCAGGAGGAAATTTATAAATAACCAGTCAAAATGTGTATAATGTCCAGAATACCCATTGTTGGCCATTTTCAAAGAAAGCATGTAGATGTTAAGAGCTACCCAGTGTACTGTTTCTGATGTTAATGAGTTTGAAATGAATATGGTTTCATATACTATGGTGGTGGAATAGATTTTTAGTGTCACATAACTGGCTCAAAGCTCACTCAGTCTCTCTCAGAGATGTGGTTAGTAAAATAAGTAAAGCGATCTTAGAATGTGTCAACTTTCAAATAAAAAAAAAAAAACAATCAACTTAATCTTATACAGTGGAGAAGTACGTCTGAAGTGATCGACTGGTTTAAGAACTTTGAAAACAAAAATAATTTTACTTTCATCCAATTTGATATTGTGGATTTTTATCCATCTATCGCTAAGGACCTTTTCAATTTTGCATTAGAATTAGCATAAATTTATTCTGACATTTTGAAGGACGAAATAGACATTATTTTGAACTGTAGAAAATCAGTATTAATACATGAAAATGAACAGTGGATTAAGAATTCGACCGATAATTTTGATATATCTATGGGATCTTTGAATTCTGCAGAGTCTTCAGATTTAGTTGGACTGTTTCTTTTGCACAACCTCACAGCATATGAAGAGATTGATTTGAATAGTAAAGGGCTTTATAGAGATAATGGTCTCATGATTGTAGATAAATATACTAGAAGTAAGGTTGATAAACTTAGAAAATTAATACATAGTATTTTTAAATCTTTTGGCCTTAGCATAGTTATTAATTCTAATATTAAATAAGTTGATTTCTTAGATGTTACATCAAATTTGATTTTAAATAGTTTTCAACCTTACATGAAAAGAATGCCAAACCAATTTATATCCATCCTAGTTCCAATCACCCACTTTCTGTAATCCAACATATTCCATGATCAATAGAACGATGGATTAATCAACACTCTTTTAGCAAAGTAATATTTGAAAAACATAAAACAGTTTATGATAAGGTTCTTAGGGATAGTGGGTTTAAATTTTGTGAAATTGGATTTGTGGAAAATTATGATTGCTCCAGGAAGAAAAACAGAAACAAGAAGATCATATGCTATACTCCTCCACATATTCAATTAGGTCACACTAAAGTAGGACATAAATTTTTAAAATTAATTGATAAACATTTTCCTAAAAAAGTTCTTTGAATAATATTTTCATTTGGAACACTCTAAAACTTAGTTATAGTTGTACTAATAATTTAGAGAAAATAATTAAATCACATAACATTAAAATATTGAAATTATGTAACAATAATAACTGTAATACTAATGCTGATCTTAATTTATCTTCTATAAATAGCCCATGTAATTGCAGAAATCCCAACCAATGCCTGTTATCTAAAAAGTGTTTAACAAAATCCCTTGTGCATATGTGTTCTATTACATCAGTTGAAAGTCCCACGATTTATGAATGAATTTACATTGTAAGTACAATGAATGAATTTAAAAAAACGTTTCTATAACCATATCTCATCTTTTAATAATGCAGATAAAGGAAATATGACTTCACTTTCTAAATATTTTTGGAGATAGAAAGACAAAAATAAAACACCTAAAGTTAAATGGAAAATTCTAAAACTAGGTAGAATCTGTAGGTCTTTGAATGAACCATGTTTTCTCTGTCTACAGAAGAAAATGGAAATAATTAAATTCTCAAATAATGACATTTTATTGAATCAAAGATATGAAACAGTAATAAGTTGTAAGCACATAAAGGAATTAACTTTAGAATATTGCTAAATTTCTTAACCCTAGAATCAATGTTTTTATGTTTATTATCTTTATAAACATTTCATTGTTATCATTAATTTATCCCATTTTAAGGCATTAAATTGGTTAATATTTATAATTTACTAGTAGTAAGATTAGCCTTGAATTATATTTTTAAGTTTATTTTTATACGAGCAGCATGGCCCGGCATTGCCCGTGCTTGATTAAAAAATTGTATGACTCATACATCAATTGTTATCACTTAAAATATTTTTGCCTTTCCTTGCCTTTAAAGGAGTGCCCTATGCCATGCTGATGTTGCTACATGTCTTACTTCTTGCCTATCTCACACTGCAAATTTTTTCTAAGCTCTATACTAAACATTAAATCTGTTATGAAAAAAGAACTAAACAAAATGAACACAATACGATCAGCTTTAAAAAGGACTCAGAAACTGAAAAAACCCGAATGAAAAAGAATGTTAACAACAAATACTTTTTCACACCCAACCCAGTTCTGCGGAATCAGAATCAATGTTGAGTTTAAGCAAGCGAATGAGCCAATTGGAGTAAAGTGCCATGCAGATTTAAATTTTTCCCCACTTATGACGAATGCAGCTATCGATTTTTTTTTTTGCATGCTAGCATGCTAGTTAACATTCATGTCAGTCAGCTGTTGGCTCTCATGCTGGCCAGTAGAATCTTCCTGCCTATTTGTGGCAGCCAGCTATAAGCTCTCACTCTGGCCAGTACAAAATGGCTGCAAACTACATGAAAACTGCCGTAGAAGCATGAAAAAAATCTATTTCCACTATCGATGGGAGTTGGGAAATGCAAAGTCGGTCTTGGCCTTCCTGCTTACTTGGAGCATTTGGTGCAAATCCGTCGAAAATTGCGGCCGTACATTCGTTACACACACACATCCTGCCTTTTGTAGATAGAGATTTATTTTATTTTAACTACTTTTCTCTGGCTTTTTTAATACTTTATAATTAATATAATAATATAAAAGTCTTATTTTTTTTTGTATTTTAATTTATATTGTGAAGTTGGTTTTGTTAAGTATTGTATCGCTTCTTAAAGTGTCCTTTTTTACATTCTGTAAATAATTTTGTTTGAATATATGACTTCATATATAAATGCCATAGAATTGTAAATGCGACATGTCGATACAGTGTATCCATTCACATCGTGTTTCTATTCAAATTTGAGTTCTGATTCAACAGAATTTCATTGGTTTAATTTGTATCAACATCTTTCTATCTTCTTGACTTTCCTCTTGCCTTTCTTTTTTGTCTTATCTTTTGGTAGTATGGTTAATTTTCTTCTCTTTCTCATGACTTTTTCTTCCCTTTTTTATTTTTATTGATTTATCTTCTTTCCTTTTTCTTTATATAAATCCTTTTTACCTTTTATAGAAAATTTTCCCAAAACGGAAAGTGAAGTAGTGTTTCATTAATCGCAATTTTGAATAAAATCGTTTAGTACCGTCATTGTTAGCCACCTGAAGAAACGTTTGATTTTAACATTGAAACAAAATGTACAATTTTGTAGTGGATATTTACATCTTCTAATGTAACTACATATATAAGAAAGAATTATGGATGTATTATCAGTTGACTAATATTTTTTTTTACTAAATATTCCTAAACAAATTATTGGTCCTACAGCATGAATTATGGAGTATTTCTACTCCAAGTAATTATATATATATATATATATATATATATATATATATATATATATATATATATATATATATATATATAAAAGCAATGCAATATTTATCATTTACCATTTTATAAGGAAATGGATTTGAAAAAGAAATCTTTTTTTATTGAAGAATTTATAAAAACCTACAAAATTTTCAAAATATGTGAACCTATTTCAATCCAATATTTTCTTATTTACCAATCAATTTGAACTTTATAAAATGGTAAATAATAAATATATTGTAGTCAGTTCATATATTTTTATGATATAGTAATTTTTATAAATTAATAAAGAAATTGTTTTTATATTTATTTCTTTATGAAATGGTAAATGATAAACATTGCATTGGTCGGTTCACATTTTTAGAAAGTTATAAAATTTGTTGTCGATTCAGTTTAACAAATTCACCTCCTTAGTATATAAAAAAATCTTTTTCCAGACTTTTTCTTTCCAGATAATTTTTCTTTCAATATATTATCATATCATATATCTTTTTCTTTCAATATATTATCATATCATATATCTTTTTCTTTCAAAAATCATCTTTTTTTCCATATCTTTTTTTTTCTTTCAATATAATCATATTTTTTTTCTTTCAATATCATATCATATATCTTTTTCTTTCAATATCATATCATATATCTTTTTCTTTCAATATCATATATCTTTTTCTTTCATTATCATATCATATATCTTTTTCTTTCATTATCATATCATATACATTTTTCTTTCAATATATTATCATATATCATTAAGCCCAATGAAAATTATTACAATTAAACAATTTTGAGTAATTTTACTGCATGAGTATAAACTGGGGAAAAAGAACCATTTTTGCATTGAATCATTACACAAGATGAGAAATGGATACTCTTTGACAACAGTAAGAGTGTAGGCCAGTAGTTAGATGCAAGTGAATCACCAAAACAATAACCCAAACCACCAGTGCACCCTAAAAAGTTAATGGTTACTGTATGGTGGTCTTTCAAAGGGGTTATTCATTATTCATTCTTGCCTCAAGGAAAAACAATAACAGCAACCTAGAATTGTGGAGAAATTGAATATATGCACGAAAAATTGAAAAAGGAACATTCTAGACTTGTGAATAGAGGATGGCCCAATTCTGCTGCACAACAATGCACTGCTGTACGCTTCTCAATCAACTGTCCAAAAGCTGCATGGCCTGAATTATGAAATTTTGCCTCATCGTCTATTTTCACTTTATATCTCTCCTATTGATTATCACTTATTTAAGCATTTTGAGTTTTTCATACGTAATAAAATATTTTACAATAAAGAAGAGGTAATCAAAGTATTTGAACTTTTTATCACATCAAAGGATGAGAATATTTTTAAAGATGGATCAAGAATTTAGAGGTATGTTGGAGAACAGACATTCATCAACATGGTGCCTATTTGAACTAAATAAATTAGTTATTTAACATTTCAGAAGCATTTTATTCATTTCATATAAAGTGTGCCATTTCATGTGTGACAACCTCATAAAATTCTTGTAAATAAACAATCTAATAAATAGTGTTTAATATTTTTGTTGTAAATTCTCAAGAAGAAAGAAAATGTATAAATTCACTTTCATATGTTTGGGTTTTATTAAAATTCTAATCATTGCTTTTTAATGCAATAAATATTGCTGAGGAGTGAAGGTAGTACAAAATAGTAGTGGTGTCAAGGGAAAAGCTGCCCTTTTGACGAACGTTTTTTTTTTGTGGGGATGAAGGTTAAACTTTGTCAGATAAACAACAGTTTTCTCAAAATTTCATAATAAACAAAAAATTTTAAAAAACCCCTGAAACTGCACATAAAGCATGGGATAGAGATAAATAGCCTTATACATAAGTATGTACTTTTGTTGCCTCTTACAAGACGAGATAGCTTCTTTCCAAGAACTGTTGCTTTGTGGAACAGAATCAACAAGAGGATGCTTTCCTGATCACGACAATCTTAACCTCTCCAAGTCTAGGATTAACCATTATCTTTCCCACAGTAATATCCATATAAACTGTGCCCCTTGCTTTTACCAGTCACACAACAACCATCTTCAGTAACCCTCTACCTTGAGTGGCCCTTGGGCCTTATATAGTGTAAACATTAGTATGTATATAAAAAAAAAAAAAAAATCATCACTATGTCCCTAGGCTCATTTAGTTTTTATACCACTCCCAGAAAACTGATTCCAAAATCAACTTTTATATTTATATTTTTATTAGACTGAGTGTTCAATCATTATTTTTAATTTTGACTTATTTACTTTCATAATTACATAGTTACTTTTTATTGGGATCTTATACAGATTGTCAATTTATGGCAGTGATTAGAGGGCATGGGAATGGAAATCAAGGATAAGCTCTTGATGACAAAGTAAACAGGAATCAAAAACTACTACTAATAATAATAATAATATTAATACTACTACTACTACTACCACCACCAATAAGAGTACTAACAATACTACTACTACAAACAATACTAATATTACTAATAATACTACTAATAATAATAATATCTCCTAGACATCATGTTTAGGGACCACAAAGACAAAAAGTGCCTCCTTATTTATATGGCAGTCCTTGCAGACTGCAATATATCTTTGAAGATCTTCAAAAAAGTATAAAAAATACAAGGACCTTGAAATCAAAATCTAAAAAATGTGGCACACAAAGACATCAACAATTCCAGTTGGAGCCCTCAGATTGATTGGAAAAATTCCAATAGACTCATTGAAGGGATTCCTGGCAGCCCATGCCTTAAGAAATACAAAAAATTGTTCTCACAAGTATAGCCTGCACCATACTAAGGGCTTTATCTATATGTATGATTTTTTTTTTTTAAAGTTGCTCAGTGGAAAAACATCATGGTACCATTTCTGACCTTAGGTCTCTGGTCAGGACCCAGGAAGAAATGAGTACACACCAGAAACCAAAGGAAATATAATAATAATAATAATGGTGGACAATGTTTTACTTTATAAAAAATAAAATGAAAATAAAACAGCTGCAAAAACAATATCTTATAAATAAATTTGCATAAAAATAGCAAACACAAATTATGGTGTAACTTCTTCAGTCAAAGTTTTCTTAGAGCTAACTATTTTTTTTTTTTTTTTTTTTAATAATAATGCTGGACTCTCCTGTTGTTTTTCGATGTATGAGGGTCAAGCAACTCAGTTCCTAGGAACTGACAACCAGACACCTACACATATGATTTGTTTATAGCGGTGAAAGCTTTGTGCAGAACCAACCACACTTTTTGAAGGGCCTAATACATACACCTGGTGCACTATATGCCACAAGATACCCAAATGACCTCCTACTGGTTTTGAATTCAGAGTTGTCCTTCTCCTAGACCAGTTGCCATCCAAGGCTATAGAACCCAGTCTGTCCTGCTATTTACCCATAGCTGGAGGGAGAAGATACCTTTCCCAAGGGTATTAGAATGTTAGTGAATGTAATGGATTCAACTGGAATTCGAACTTGGCTCCCCGATTCCTCAATCCGAGCCACTATCCATTACTCCTCCTTTAATAATAATTTTAAAAGATTGAAAAATACTAGGATTTGGCTAGAGAGTTGAAAAAGCTATGGAATATGACTGCTGAAGTATTTCCTTTTATAATGAATGCACTAAGAAGACCATCTAGAAAACTTAAAGAACACTTATAAAAAAATTGGAATGGAAAATGATATTGTAGACCTGTAGAAAACTTATTTACTCTACAAGGATTCTCCAAAAAGTTATGAGGAATCTTGTTGACACCATGCCTCAAGAACAGAATTTCCTTTGACAACATCAATATGCGAAACAAACATAATAAAATGACTACTTGTAATGATATGATAGGACCTGCTCAATGCGTACACTGGTGAATATATTTGTACATTCAACCTCCCTCACAAAGAGAATTTATGAGAGCTTAAGCCACCATAAGATGTACAGAATAAAGAGGTTACCATCCTTTGGAATTTCAGCATTTAGACTGATAAGGAAATCCAGGCATTATTGTGTAAACACCTGTCTTTTGAAAATGTTACAGCCCCAGTCAACAGAAACACATCTATGAAACATTGCAAAACTAAATAAATACATGGATTTTGAGATATAGATCAGGAGAATGTATTTCAAGATGACAACATTACCTAGTGTTATCGGAGCTCTGGGAATGATGTCAAAGAAAACAAACAAGTGTGTGGATCAAATTCCTGGTTGCCTTAAAATATATGAAATTGCAAATAAATACTAAACAGTTATTACAATTTCACATTTTTTCCCCCCCGATTGCATAGCACCTCATCCTTTTGTGTCTTTTGGTACAAAAAAAAACCCGTCACCTGAAGTCTCTGGTTAAGACTGGGGAGTGGGAAGGGGGAACTTGCACAAAACAAAGGTAAAACAAAATTATTATTATTATTACTGTTTTTGTTATTACTATTAACTGCAACAACTTTAAATGAGAAAACTTCTGACAATACATCCAGAACTCATTATCTGGTACAATTATTGTCTTAGCAGCAGGAGTTTTACTTTTTATCAGATGATGGCTTGTTATTATCAATTATTAAATTTTACTAGTATATCTTTCATTTAATTGTAGATTAATGACCAGAGTCAAATTGCAATAAAAAGAAATAATTAAAGATAACACTGTTGCCATGAGTAAGACTTGTATAAAAACAAATATAGCACTGAGAGAGATCATGGAAGGAATGGTGGTATATGGATTAGATTTGATCTTCTGCAAAGTTACAGAGTTCTTTTTGGCTTAATAGACCCCCAACACACCCACCTCACGCCAAAAAAGTCCACTCCAGATTTGGATACAACTGGTGATATTTTTTATGCATCTAAAGAAACAAGAATTGAAAATATACACTGAGAGGCAATTGTAAAGGCATTTTGGTGATACTCTTTTAGAAAATGCATATAAGTGTATACAAAAGAATAGAGCTTTGGTATTGAGAAGTACCTTCCATAGAATGGTATTCTGGCTTTAGTAGCATTCTGTTTCAACTGATCAAAGGCACCGGCACGAAAGGTATCAGCACAAATCAAACACGTCTTCCACCCTTTCTTGTGGTAATAGTAAGCCAACTACAAGAAAGAGAAAACAAAAAAAATTAATAAATCCCAACAATAAACAAACACGTGTTTCAAAGTCTGGAATTTTGAGAAGCATCATTATTGTCCCAAGAACTGTTTAGATTATTTGTCACATTCTTTGGAGTTATTTTTGATTTTTATATCATTTATAGTTTTTTTTTTTTCTAAGTGTTTTGAAAATAGCAATTTCAGAGAAACGTCTTCCTGAAAATCAGTCTATATCATTTGTTTATGTTTAGATACATTTCAAGCAGATATGATCGTTCGAGGGAAATCATGGAAAATTGTAGTTTAAAAGCAGTAAAATCGACCTTGCTAACCAGATGCTCCTCTGTAGCTAAACTGGCATAGCATGTCAGTTATCTAATAAGTTTCTTGATGTTAAGATGAAATTCATCAAGGAAGGCACCGTAGTTTTTTTTCTTTTTAAACCAAGAACTTTTGATATTTTCTAAGATCGACTTCGGGGGGGTAAACTACAGAAATAAACTTATCGTAACCGTGATAAGTTGGTGTCTGTAATTTAACCCTGATGATTAGTTACCTCCACTTTTTCACAGAAAAACAGGATAGCATGATGAAAATAGGCTTCAAACTCAATAAAAACAAAGGTTTATTGTCAAAATGTTTATGTTATTATTAAATAATAATATTTAAAGTATTCTTTGAAATTTTTAATCCTTTCTAGCATGTTCGAAATTTTGGTTAAAAATTTTGTTTACGTCAGTGGTTGATATAATAATTACAATTAGGTTTTTCCCATTTTTTTTCTCCAGTGAAAAACATGCTGATTTGGAAATTCTTGCAAAAAAAAAAAAAAAAAAAAAAAAACAAATAATTGTCAGATTTTAATGAAACTTTCAGTACATGAAAATGAATGAAATTATTTTGGAAAACTTTTTTTTTTTTTAAAGAATATCTTGGTAAAAAATATTTCTTTTTAACATATTACCACCCACTTGCTTAATTTTATGAAATTTTCAGGCTGGATTTTTTTTTATTAGTTAAAAGCAGGCCTCTGTGGTGGAGAATGTAAATCATCAATTTATTTTGTAAAACAGTTAACCCATTCATCAGAAAATCTGCTCTGAATTGTAAAATAAAAAAATGCAATAAAACTATGACATTATTTAATTAGAAAATCTTTTAATTGCTTTTATAGATAGAATTTATTAAGAACACTATTGTCTTAAGGAGAAAATTTTTTTCGATGAATAATTAATCTTTACAAGAATTGTTTTCATTTTAATGAAATAATTTATAATATTAAAAAATTGTTTAAAATTCTGCATTACTTCAAGGTGGTTAGGTGATATTGTTATTAAGTGAAAATTACATTTATGAATCAAAAATTTAAAAGCTCATCACAGTCATTTCTACCCAATATTTAAAAAAAAAAAAAAAATTTTTTTTTTTGTAGTGTATAAATGTTCCCAATTTGTAACTATGGTAAGCCTTAAATTATATTATCCTTTAAAAAGGTCATAGGATCGGCGCTCTACAACTCTTTCACTTTCATTATTCAGTTCTGTTTCATCGTTAATGTCTTCGCAATTCATCCCTTCAAAATTTTAAAGTAAGTTTTACTTTTTTTAATTACTATTTCACTAAATATTTTTTATTTTATGTATTTAAGTTACGGTCATACTTCAATTAAATAAATTTTTTGTTTAAATTAATAAACTTAAGATAAGAACCTTGACACAAGACCCAAATTTCATAAAGTATCTTCAAACATAACTACAAGACAATAAAATATTAGATAATTGCTGAAAATATGTTAATTTGTAAAAAAGCATTTACTTAGCTTTTGTAAATTTATCTCAGCTGTCAACACCTCAGAACTTATCAATATGTCAATAAAGACATAACAAAAACAGGACCCATTGTTAAAAAAAATACTTTTTTATGATATAAAGAAGTAATGTTTTTTTCAAATCAGATTAATTTAACTTTAAATTTGTTAATTTTACTTAAATAATGTGTCAAATATATGTTATTTTTGGAAGATTTTTAAAACCAATAATTTTGTTTTGTTTACAAATTTCTTAAAATTAAGAAAATGATCGCTTGTAAGATTTTCTTAAATTGACCAAAAAGTTGAGATTCTGATCTATATAATCTCTGTTTGAAATATACCAAAATATGTTACTTACTAGAAATTGACGCAAAAATGAAATCTTCAAGAATGATTTTTTATGTTTAAAAATAGATTTTAAACCTTAGATATCAAAAATCCAGTGGAGGTACCTACTAAAGATGATCTGGGAAAATATCGAAATTACTTAGGTCAGAAAAAAAAAAAAAAAATACGGTGCCTTCCTTGATGAATTCCATTTTAACATCAAGAAACTCATTAGAAAACTGGAAAGGATCAGTATAAAAATAAACAGACATATAAATATATATATCTACATTATTCAATGAAACATGTTTGAATAAATTTTATTTTTATATATATATTTATAAATTGATTTAAAATATTGTTTTTTTTTTCACTACACAGTAATAACCATGTTTCAAAAATGGAAGCTAAAAGCTTCAAATTTAATTTTGTAATTAAATTAAAAACATTAGTTCCATTTCATCCTCAAGTGAATTTTGGATAATATTAATGCTCTGTAAATTTACATTGAGCACTATTTTGTAAAAATAAAAATATCAATAAGAACACTGGATTATATATCTCACTGTTCTTTCTATATATATATATATATATATATAAAATTTATCAAGGCTGAAGAATTGTCCAACCTTTGCTGCTGTTTATCATCGTGTTGCTGAGACAGGATCTTCAAACATGAAATATGTCCGAATAAATTATTATATATATATATATATATATATATATATATATATATATGTGTGTGTCAAAAATACTTTTACAAACTTTGGAAGCAGGTTCCTCATACCAAAACAAGGACAAGAGTCCACATAAACATATGTCTGCAAATCTTTCATTTTTGAGTTAAGTTTAAAAAAAAGTTTACGTACATAGTGCAGTGTTGCCATGTCACATTTGTCATTCATATACATTTGTGGCTAGTCTGTCTTCAACGTTTAACACATGTAGTAAGTTAACTGAGAAGTGTTCAATTTAACAATGGCAGGACATTCATACTGTGAGTAGGCAGATATAATTTTTACATACAGCCGCGCAAATGGTAATGGACACTAGGCTGCACAGCTTCAACAGGTCGTGTTTCCAGACTGAAGCCAGCAGAGTTGTCCAACCTTTGCTGCTGTTTATCATCATGTTGCTGAGACGGGATCTTCAAACTATGGATCAAGGAAGACTGAAATCCCCTTGTACGGCTGACCAGGAAAAACATTCTACAGGAGATGATCCAAGCATCAACACCAGTCAAGTGACCCTAGGTTGTCGTAGATCTCATAGTAGTTCATGGAGGGTACTTCAAGAGCAGCTCCTGTATCTGTGTCATTTGCAACATGTGCAGGGTCTTTCACCCTCTGATCACTCAGCATGGGAGACTTTTGCCGATGGTTTGTGTGACATGACTATTTATCAAGTAATTAAATTGAATTAAATCAATCATTTGAAGTATTGATATTAAATATAAATCCCTGCTCTAAAATTTAAATATAAATTTGAGGTATTGATATTAAATATAGATCCCTGTCCTTTAATTTATTTTTCATTCTTTCTTTGTATTGCTTCAAAATTCGATAATATTAAGAACTCCCAAACATCAGGTGATCACAGAATTAGGTCACAACCAAATGGCCTTGACCACTTTTGAATTTGTTCAACAGTTGAACTTGATTTCATACATAGCGTTCAATGTTAGGTGTAACCACCAAGAAAACATTCAAATGTTTATTTCTTTCTCCGTGGGCTGGCTCTAATGGAAAATTGTAGTCCGAGACAGAAATTTAGAAGCTTCCAGAATAATCAGGAACTTAAAAGTCAAAATGGACTGTATCCTCCATGAATAAAAAGCAAAGCACTTTCAGAACAATAATCCAACAAATAAACAATATTGATCAAATGAAATATTTCTACATATAAAAGGAAACTGAACCAAGACAAAAAAGATTTGTCTGCCTTGAACTATTAATAAAAAGGAAAGAAAAAAATATTGATCAAAAATTGTCGATAAGATTATTTGACAGATAAGTAAACCATTGAATATTTCTCCTATGACAATTTTTGTTAAAAATATTTTCTTTCCTTTCTCCTATTCTTTGTTTATCATTTCTTTCTTTCTTCTACTTTATATCTTTATTATATTAAAATAAGTATAACTTTACATCTTGTGCTTGTCTTCTCTATGTTATTAGTGCTTGTATTGGCTCCCGAGTAGAAAATCCCACTTTTTTCTTTTAAGCTAACTGCGTTTGCAACCACATGTATGAATTTTGTCATGTTTTGAATTTTGAGATAAAATTCACAACAATTACACAAATTGCTGATCTGTTGTTTATTTTTTCAGCCTTGTTTATGGATGTGGCAACATTTGTAAGAGATGGAATAACAAATTTACACAATCAACATTTGTGAGTGGATCTGAATCCCCATGGTATAATACAGGGTAGACACCAGCATCAGTTTACAAATAATGTGGGGGCTGGAACTGTAGGTGACTGTGTAGCATGTCCATATGTTTTCCAAGCATGCCTTACAGGAGACATCTACAGGGACTTTATTTCAATCACACCTCCAGACCTGTTAATATGAACATGTATGTGGTTCATGCATGATTGGTCTCTAGTACATTTGGACATATGCTTATATGGACATTTTACCTTGTTTTTGTGTCAGGAACCCACACCAAAATTTATAAAAGTACTTTTGGATTGTGTTATAACTCACTCCTAGTGGTTATAATATGTCCTGCTTAGGCTACTTACTATGATGTCATGCCAACTGACTCCAATGAACTTCCTCTGACTCACTTTGAGTTCTTTATTTAAGGCGTCTTGCCTAGTTCATTTGTGTTGTTTTTTTTTTAAAAAATGGAATCACCCCAAGCAAGGCAGTAATGCCACTAAAACACAAGGGGGAACAGGAATATTAATGATGAGCAAAAAAGAACAAAGTAACCAGGTGGACAGTAGATAGCAATTGACATTGCTTTTAAACTTTTGCAGATTAAAGTTGGCTGGAAAGCATGGAGCCAGAAGGAGTTCCACAAGTGAGAAGTGCTAGAGAAGAAACTGTTAGCATAGAATTTATATCTAGCCAGCTCAACTGTAAATTGATGAGATCTTGACCCCAGTCTAGTGCTGTGCTTAAATTCAAAAACTCTAGGTACCAGAGCAAAGAGCTAATTTGAAAAGTTACCATGAAAGTATTTATACAAAAGACAGAGAGGCAACCTTACGGCGGTGGGAAAGTGACTTAAGTAATATTGCAGATTCTTCTTTGGATCTTATCAAGGATCTCAAGGTAAATAGCAGAGGCACCGGACCATATGTGGCAGCAATATTCTAAATGTGGACAAATAGTAGATATAGATGTGTAAGATAGAGTCTGGAGAGAAAAATTGCCTCACTCTACATAGTGAACGGACTTTCTTAGTATCTGATTTAGCAATGGATTCAATATAATCTTTCCACTTCACATCAGCAGAAAGAATGAGCCTTAGAAAGTGCAACAAGTCACTTCCTGGAGGATAGCATCAGCCATGCTGATAGAAGACAGAAAGGGGTTCTCTCAGATGATTAATAGAGAGAAGTTTAGTTTTGGAGGCATTAAAATTAACAAGCCATCTTTGGCTCCAGTTAACTATGGAGTTAAGGTTGTTTTGGACATTGGCTGCCAATTTGCTCTTGTCAGACTGATAAGCTTTACTAATGAGGCAAGAGTAAATTGTTGTCAGCGAAGATACCAAGTTGAGAACTGATGTCATCAGGAAGGCCATTAATGGAAATTTAAAATATAGTAGGACCAAGGATGGAGCCCTGGAGAGGGGACACCTGCATTCGTATAAAAGGATCTAGATAGTGGCCATTTACGATAATTCTCATTTCATGATTTGACAAGAATGCCTGGATCAGTTCAAAACAGTGTCCGGAGACACAGTAACTTTTCAGCTTGCGAAGAAGACCTGAATGTCAGACCCTATCAAAGTCATTGGTGATGTACAAAGCAACAGCCTAGGCTTCAACATTTTTATCCAGAGCATGATAAACTCTTTCTGCAATTATTGTTAGTGCATCAGCAATTGACATGGAGATATGAAAGCTATATTGGTTGTCAGAGAAAAGGCTCTGTGATGAGCAATGATGAACCAATTCAGAATTGATTAGGGCCTCTAGGAGTTTTCCCAGAAAGAGGTAGAAGGCTAATAGGCCAATAGTTAGGAGAGCTTGGCGACTCACCAGAGTTTTTAAAAAAAAAATGGAACAACAGATGATGACTTTCAGCAGGCAGCTAGGTATTTATTATAAAGTTTATTGAGAACAGAAGCCAATTCGGGAGCACACTTCTTAATGACTATTACAGGGATACCATCGAGTCCACATGCTTTGTGTGTGTGTGGGGGGGGCGTCTTATTTTCTCCCCCCACCACTTTGAGATTTTTTTTTACTTTTTTTCATGTTACCATCATCATATTTATGTAGAAACACTCCTATATTTTTTCCCCTTATTTCTTTACACACACACAAAAAGAAAAAAATGAAACCAACCTGTTTTAATTTGTTGTTGTCACTTATCATGTGCACCGAAACAAAAAGTACTTTTTCGGAGTCTGTATGAGTTTTCATTCCCTGTTACCGCTAACTCCTAGTTCTTTATTTAAAGCATCTTGCCTAGTTCATTTGTGTTACTGGGGGTGTTTTATTTACTCCACAACAGACTGAATCTTGGATTGTACATTTAATGCCATCTAACATAAACTTAACAACTCAAAGATGAAGGATTTGCAGACATGTGTTTATATGAACTTCTGTCCTTGTTTTAATGTGAGGAACCTGTCCCCAAAGTTTATAAAAGTATTTTGATACACCCTATATATGCGTGTGCATATCAGGAATTCCATATCAAGTTAAACAATGATTCCAGAAACGCTATCTCAGATTTTGCTGTATTTTTTCCCTTTTTTTAAGTGCTTATGGAGAGGGGAAAAAATAATTTAAAAAAAAAAAAAAAAAAAAAAAAAAAAACTTACTTTTGTACAAGTGGTGGTCTTGCCACTTCCTTGAAGACCAACAAACATAATCACATTGGATTTGCCCTTTGTTGGTTGCCATGCACGAACTTTGGGGTCAATTAGCTACAAGACAAAAGCAAAATGAACTGAAAGGTAAACAATAGTAGTAGCAGAAAAAGCAAAACAATACAATATTTTGGCAGTTATAAATTATGACATCCTCAGAGGATGAAAACATTGTCAATCAATTATGGTACCCAGGGTATAAAAAAAAAAAAAAAAATTTGGGGTTCAAGCTTATATTTTTGTTAATAAGTACTGAAAAAATTCTCAACCTGACCCACCTAAAATCTGACTAAATGATTAAACATTTTTATTTTTGACAAGATTTTTATTTTTTTGGTTGGGCCAAAAACTTTTCAGCACCACTCTTATCAATCTTTCCTCTATTAAAACTTATTTATTCTGCTTGTGTTTATGTGGCAAACAGCAGTAATGAATTTCAGAGAGATACAAGGAGAAAATTCCAATCAAATATCAGGTTGAGTCAAAAGTTTTTTTTTCTTTTGTTTTTCGGATTTTTACTGATGATTTATGGAAACTTGTATCCTCATGTTATATCATAAATTTGATAAAACTTATTTTCTAATAATTGCTGAATTGTTTATACTTTATTTTCATATATAACATATAAACCATAGTTGTTTATTCTTTATTTAACAGCTTTGATAATGAGCCATTTTATGCCACCTGTGGAGAAAAAGGACCGAGTGCAAAGGTCATGTCAAATGAAAATGATATGGAAGGCCCAAAAACTGTCAATGAACATGTGGCACAAAACTGGTTCAGACATTTCAAGGAAGATGACACCAGCCTTGAAGACAAGCGAAGGTCAGAGAGACCATCTGCTGTAGAAGAGGAGGCCTTGCTTGAAATGGCTGAACAATGGCCAAGTACAGAGGAAAACTGAGTAACCTACCTAACAAATATTTAGAGCTATGTAGAATAGAAGGTTGTAGAGAGCCATGACAACACATTTCAAGTCAAGAGTCAATTGCTCTCTATCCTTATTCTCATAATCTTTACTTTCTACCAATCTCACACCTTGTTTACTAAGCTCCTACTCCAAGTCCCTTTTGAGCCTTGTATTGGATGAAGTTTAGTATTTTAAAAAATACTGAAGGGACGTGGCACATAAAAAATTCATTTCTAAATCTTAGAAAAAAAAAAAAAACTACTACTACTAACTCAACAATCCAGCATGGAAGGTTTTGAGAAGAAAAATGGAGGGGGTGTGCATTTTTTAATTATGTCAACTTTGATAGCTTAAATTAATACTTTGGATATATGGGAGAAGCTCTAATCTTGGCAAGAGTGATATCTTATAATTTGAAGATTGAAGAATGAATTTGTTTAAGACATGTTAAAAAACAAAAACAAGAATAGATAAAAATCAAAATATCTATAAATATCAATAAACTTATTAATGGTAATGAAGAGGTTCATGTGAGGTGTTAGCAGAGAGAAAAGAAGCACTCTCACTGAATTTGCTTACTTTTTCTCACTTGTCAGAAAAACAAAAAAAAAAAACTTTTTGTTCAACTTCAGCATTTGTAAATCTGAAACTTCATACTACTTAATAATCTTTTGGTACAATTTCCAATCCATCATAAACAAAAAAAAAAAAAAAAAAAAAAAAAAAAAAAGAACACTTTTTTTTCATGGCCTTCAGTCCCTCTCATAAATGATACTGCTGTATTGGACACGGGGTAACTTTTCAGGGGAAAAAAAATCTGTGTCCAATAGGGTGGTAAATATAGTTAATTCATTGCTGAAAGTATTCCTGCTTACCTTCATAAGTTCTTTGAAAACTGCAGACTGAATCATGCGGCGTTTATTTAAACCTCCAGCCATTTCATCAAAATCTATCACAGTCCTGAAAATAAGCACAAAGTAAATTCCAATTAATGAGTAAAGTGATATTATTAATTCACAGGAATTCTGCATACATTTACATAGAGCGATTTATTTTATCTTTCTGATCCACAATACTTCAGTTTTACAGAGGATCCTGAGAGTTTCAATACAAGGCAACAAAGATAAAAATCAAAAAAAGACATGTCAAAATTTAACATCAATTTCTTAATTTCTGTCTGTAGACCAGAGCTTGAGATTAATATCCTGGATATGACATGATGTTAGTTTAGGATTGCTGGTTAACTTTGGGAACAATGTGAATTTTTAAAAAAAATTCTACTATATGTACTAACAGCAACTAATTTCTTAAAATAAAAAGAATTCTTACTTCTCAACAATAGTGATGAATTTCTAGTAAATGGATCATATGCACACACAAAAATTTAAGGTTTTTTTTTTTAATTGGCAAATGCAAAGTCAAATGAAAAGTGTTGGTAGAAGAATTAAATTTAGATATTTGTATTTATTGCCGAATGTGAAAACAAAAAACATCAGGATTTAATTCTAAGAACTAATTTTGCTTTAATGAACAAAGCAAGAAAATAACATTTTTCTGTGAATTTTTACTTAAAAACTTGAACATTTGTGTTGTTTTCTGCTTATAAACTAAATTAACATATTGACTACTAACCATGTGATAATTCTCTTTAATCATTTCATTCCCAAAGCATTAAAGCCACTAAGACAAGTTACTGAGTGTGAAAAAATAAGAAAAAGAAAAATGTTATTAAGGAGCACAAACAATAAAAGAACAGGAAATTATAGGACAGAAGATAACAATTGACATTGCATTTAAATGAGCATTTTAACACATTGACCGTCAGAGGTCAATGACAAAATCTAACTTCAATTGTCAACATTATAATAGCCAAACTGGGCAATAAAAAATTTTTATTAGTCGATTTATAGCATCAACTGATATCCTGTTTAACTCTAAAAGTATCGCCTACTTAGCTACTGGTATGATTTTTCATTCCTGCCCTTGACACCAGGTATTATTTGCATTAAAAACCACAAAAAACAAAAAAAAAACTCATGGATGTAGCCCGGATGGTAAGATCACAAAAATGCAATAACTTGTGATAGGTATCATAAAAACTCATTGGTCCTAACCCAGCATCACTTTCCCACTGCCATTACATAGCTTCCCTGTGTCTTTTTCTATAAATATTTTCATGGTAATCGTTCTGATAAACTTTCCCCTAGGGTACTGAGACTTTATGAATTGAAGCGCAGTAATACAGAGTGTTCCAAAAGTCGTATTACCATTGATAACCTTGTAAATTTTATATTTATTTATTTACCAAATGGAATCCTGTTTCTGTATGAGAAAATATAATCTTAAAAAATTTTATTGGTCAAATTATGGAAGATAACGTCATGCAAATTTTCCCTGGTTGCTATTTCTTAAGTGTATGTTTCCTGCCAATTGTCCCATGACTTTTGGAATACCCTGTAGATTGTCAGTTAGGTCTCATCATTTTACGGTTGAATTGGTGAAATGTAACCTTAAGTTCTTTGCTAACAACTTCTCGCACACTTCTTGCCTGTGGAACTCTTCTGGCTTCTTGCTTTCCTGTTAACTTCGATCTCCAAAAATTCAAATGCAACGTCAATTGAATTCCTCTTTTATTAGACTCATCTTAATGATTTTTGTCAGATTCTTTCACACTCAGTAACCCCTTGTATTTGTGTGAAATGAAAAAAAAGAAAAGAAAAAGAAAAGAAATTGAAAATTTACATTCTTGACAATAAAAGTAAATTTAAAAAAAACTAAACAAAAAACTACTTATAATTTACATGCAGACTATTATCCTCATCTTTGGTGATATCACAACATTTTGGCTGTTATGGCCTTTGACCTTCTTGCTGATCCAAGTAACCTTCAGGTAATTTTGAACCGAACCCTTTATGTAATCTGCAGGTATAAATTGTTCTTGTTCCACTGCCCATGTCTTGGAATATCTCATCTAGTTCTTACTGTTCAACCAATTTCCACAGAGTCCAAGTACACACTGCCCAACCCAGGGATTGAACTCACAATTACTATGTCAGCAAATTCATGAACCAGCAAAATCATGAACCAGCAAAACATGAGGACAATAATTCACATGGAAGTAATGTTAACTCTTCATACTAGAAATTTAGACAGAAAAACCCTTTTCAGGGTGCACAAATATTACACTCATCTGAGGCAGAAGTGATGGAAAATGACACTTAGATCCAAGGCAGAAGTGCCTATTCAAAAATTAATAATCCAGTCCATTTTTTTTTTTATGGGTACTATACTAGTGAAGAATTGACTTACCGAACATTTTCTCTTAGGTCTTTGACTAATTTAACATTGACATCTGCTTCCAATAAGGCAGCACAAATCTCTTTAAGCATGCCATCAAGTACCTGAAGATAGGAAGAACTGAATTAAAAACATGAAATATACCTAAAAAAAAAAAAAAAAAAATATATATATATATATATATATATATATATATATATATATATATATATGTGTGTGTGTGAAAATATATAGAAAATAGGAAGGAACTGGTTGGGTAAATAATCCAAAGTCCCTTAGTATTTTAGTTATTATTTTTTAAAAAATAGTGCTCGATACAAAAGTAGAGCATAAATATAATTATTTATTTAAAAATATGATTCCATATCGCTACATAAGAGGTCTCATGTTTCAAAACAAGAGCCGAAAACTTCAATATAATCCTTTAAATTAAATTGAGTTGAAATTAAAATGGGCTCCGTTCCATCTTCAAGCGAAATTTTTGTTGGAATAACGTATATCTGAAATTGACTTGTTTTAAAAATTGAAATCAAAATCCCCATGGTAACGGCTCTTGTTTTGAAACATGAGACCTCTTATGTAGCGATTTGGAATCATATTTTTAAATAAATAATTATATATATATATATATATATATATATATATATGTGTGTGTGTGTGTAGCAGCAAATAATAATGATAATCAGTAAGGTGATCTGGAATTACCTGGATTAAAAACATTGGCAGATTTTATTATGTCAGATTCATATTTAACAATGCAACTTGACTCAACAGAGGATGATTTTAGAGAAAAAAAAAGAAAAATATGATGAATTAACAAAAGGAGGAGAAATTGTCCTTGATTCCAATCAGACATCAGTGATAGAATTCTGAATGCATCAAAATGGTTTACATATTCATATTGTTTGGTCATGGTCAAAGAATCTAAAGTATTGAACTACTCCTGTTCCATGAAAACATTTGTTCATAAACTTTGATATTGTAAGTTATGACATTCTAAAAATGAATCAGTTTTATATTGATGTATACATTTAATGCAACTCTCCATCTGATTTTCTAATATTTTGTTTTGTATTCAAACCCAAACATATTTTGAAATCGAAATTTTTCATACAATGCTCAAGAGCTACTCAAAGTAGAGGGTTAAAGTTGAAATGATAAAGATAAATGAGGTGTGACATATGAGTGGAAGAGAAGGTGGTAGGAAGTAGAGATTATGAGGATAAGGAGGATAGATAATGATTGACTCTTGACTTGCAGAAGTCAAAACTTGTGTGCATTATTATAATAGGCAAGTTTTGAAGGTTGTGTTAATTCTGGAAGTAAACTTCTCCGCTGTGTAGTAAGGCTTAACACTGTAGCATTCAGCCTTCCCTAACCCACGGAAAAATAGAGGTGGAGAGAGAGAGAAGAAAAACGGGAAAGAGGGGGGAGAGAGGAGGAAAGGGAGAGGAGGGGGAGAGGGAAAACGGAGCGAAGGGGGGGGAGAGGGGAATGAGAGGACAGAGCGAGTGGGGGGGGACAGAGAGGAGGACAGAGCGAGTGGGGGGGAAGAGGGAGGACAGAGCGAGTGGGGGGAAGAGAGGAGGACAGAGCGAGTGGGGGGAAAGAGGAGGAGGACAGAGCGAGTGGGGGAAGAGAGGAGGACAGAGGGGGAAGAGGGAGGACAGAGCAGGGGGGAAAAGGGAAAGAGAGGAGGACAGAGCGAGTGGGGGAAAAAGGGAAGAGAGGAGGACAGAGCGAGTGGGGGGGAAAGGGGAAAGAGAGGAGGACAGAGAGGGAGGACAGAGGGGGGGGAAAAGGGGAAGAGAGGAGGACAGAGCGAGTGGGGAAAAAGGGAAAGAGAGGAGGACAGAGCGAGTGGGAAAAATGAAAAGAGAACAGTTAGTTTAACAATCACACGTAAGTTCACAAATACAAAATAACAGGTGTTCTTTTTAAAAAACGAAAGTTAAGAAAAAGATGAAATTTTTCTTAAACATGAAAATTAAAATAAATTTCATAGAATTCGAATTTTGTAAGTAGTGTCAATTTTTCAACCAATTAGTTTTTTTAAAATGCAAATTAAATTTGTCTTTCTTTACTTTTTTTCATTACATATGGAAGCTTTTTGTGTTTTCTTAGTTTTTATAAACCCTGCTGAAACTGATGACGCAGGTGTGAATTTTTTTAAACACGTGAACGAGACATGAAACCCGTAACCTACGATAGAACTTTCTTTAGAACATTATTATTATTATTATTATTTTAATTTTTATATTTCATTTTTAGAACATTATTATTATCATTATTTTACTGAAACACATTTGAAATAATATTGTATTTTAAAATAATTTAAAAAAATTATTTTACTTCCGCAAAAACCAAAAAAAAAAAAAAACAAAACGCATGAAATTGTCATTATTAATAATAATAATAATCGGACTAAGTCTTTATCTTTTCAGTTTTTATGAAAACTTTTGTTTTTGGTCGATGCATTTTTTCAACTTATTGTATCCAATCTTTAAAAACTACTTTTTACTTGCAGTTACTGTTAAGGCTGAAGAAGTTATCGGTTGAAAAACGTGTATCTATGAAGACGAGTTGAACAACAAAACATCATGAAATTTTTTAAAAATGCGTCATTTCGAAATTTCAAGGAACTGTTTGGAATTTCGTCTCACTTCGAACAGTAAAGAATAAAAACAGGCAGAAATAACTTTAATAACAAAAAATGTCAATCTTGTTTTTCAGAATTTTTTTTTTAATTAAGTAAGAAAAGTAATTATTAAATTAAAAGCGTAAAAGAAAAACGATATAAGAAACGTGTGTAGAGATTTTTTTTGTATTGACAAACAGATGGCAAGAACTTTTTCGCAGTTTACAAAAGAAAAATACAAACATTTCCCACGGGTCGGAAAGTAACTGTGTCATTTTTATCCACAGGATACGTGATTAGAATAATATTTTAAACAGAATCTTAAAATTAACTGTTTAAAATTAAAGAAAAATTTTGATTTAACTTTTTTTTTTTAATTATCACAATTTTTTTTGTCTGACAATATTGAAGCTCAATGACCACATGATAAAAATGTTTGTTCAGGATACGTAACAATGTCAAAAATGTTTGTAAAAAAACAAAACAAAAAAAAACTATTTCTTTAGTTAGCAACAGAACAACTACTTAAAAAAATGAACTAAAATATTTTTTAAACTTTAAATGAAATAGAAAAGTTAGGGGGCAAAGTCAAGTAAATTCTTTCCTTCAGTCAGTAAAAACAACATAAGTGAAAGACAAGCAGTGTCGCTTTAATCTCGCCATCAAAATCAAAACGAAAATGTAATTAAAAGAAAAAAAAAGAAAAGAAAAAGAAACATACCTCTTTGTTGATGACCGTAGCATGGCTAAGAGAACGTAAAGCAGATGTGATTTTTCTTCCCAGATCGGCTAACACCATTTTGGCAGTGATTTAGGGTTGATTAAAAACCAAAACAGATTGTGGACAACTGTCAGGAGCTGAATACGAATAGATTATAAATAAATAATATCTCAAAGAAAGAAAGAAAGAAATCAGATTATCGTAGAAAAATTAAAAGAGAAATATTCTGTTCCGAGAATTAGGATTATGAAATGAAAAACATTTTTTAACGTGTTACCTGAAAAATACCATCCGTGTCATAAATTCTCTAAAAATTAGTAAGAATCGACCCAATTATTTTGGTTTAAAAAAATCAGTATTAACATTTATATTCCTTTTAAATATATAATTAGAAGATAAAATGAACATTTTTTTTTAACTTTAAAAATGTTCATTACAAAAAGTGGAATAAATTTACACGGAAGTCAGATTGAAAACAGAAAAAAAAAACGGAATCACTTACTTGGATGAGTTCAACAGGGATTCCTGCACTCAACCATGTATCGTCATCAGAAAACGGTGTAGCATCACGTGACTAATACGGTGTTATAGAAAGTTAAGTACTTTTAAAAAATTCTTCCGTCTTCATGGATTTTTGACGGAACATTGTGACAATTCAATTATATATTCATGATAACTTATTACGGATAAGTAATAATTCTTTTTTTGATTATTTAAGCGCATGTTTTACCAAAATAAGATTTATAACACAGGAAAATAATTTAATGCTATTTTCCCGTTTAAACTTTAAAGAATGAATTTTGTTTCAGGAAAAATTGGGTTTTCCACTTGAATCTTTATTTTTTTTATTTCTTGCTAGAAGAACTAGCTGCGATAAACGAAGCTATTTTTGACACTGAACTTCTCTGAAGTGTCACAGAGCTGAGAGGCACTTCCTGATTCTTGTTTAATGACCACAAAATTTCCATGATCTATCATTGCAATTTATTTATAAAACAAATACATTTCTGTTTTTTATTATACAGAAAAAATACTGACAGTTTTTCAGTTGGGATGCCTGCTAGGTGTCATTCTTCTATCTAGGTCTATAAAAGCAAGAGACATAAACACTTTTTCTCTTCAGAATGTTGTCAAGAAGATTTCTATATGCCAGAGTGGAGATTTCTTTCCTCAGCAGGCCATCTTCTTAATTTCTACCAGCAACATGACATATCCTGCATCACATACATCACAAGCATTTTTTAACAGAAAAGCCTATAAATGTTTTTCTTCCTTTTCCGTTATCTGTCTACATACAAGTATATTTTCTCTCTTTTGGAATTATATTATTATTTATACAAAAATCTCTATATAAAACTCCTTGCAGTGGACCCCATGGAGGGGGGGATGCAATATAACAGCCTGAGCACCCCAATAAGACATAGAAGTCACAAGAGGCCCACTAACATTTTAAAAATAAAAGACATGAAATATGACAGGTGGAACAAAAATGGACAAACAAACGAGGATATTTAAAATTAATACAAAGTTTATTTAGAATACAGACCTGAGTCCTTGTAGGTTAAATTAGCATGTAAGTTCACAGCTTGAAAGTTTGGTCCACATGTTTGGCAAAAGTGTGAGCATTGAGAGGTTGCTGGTTAAGTCCAATGATGAACCTTCCATAATATTTTAACTGAAATGTACAGAATAGGTTATTTGAAGTTGTCGGAGTTAACTCCTCCTTCAGTTCGTAACCCTTTCACCAGGGGTCTCTCTTTCCTGGCTATAAATAGCCGCTGACCCTTCACCTCGACCTCTTTTTTACTTTCAGGCCTGTGCACTGACACCTTGAGGTAATTTCTCTTATTCCTAGAGGATTCCAACTATCAACCTTGAAATGTAGTCGCTAACAAGGGATAGCGTGCACACACGCACGCACATACAGAATATTCACACACACTTTGTCCTTTGTACTGTTTCCCTGTATTGTAACTTGTTATGAATATATATTTGTGTATACATATATTATCGGTCTTGTTTTGTTTGCTTTCTTTTCCTTCTTCTTTGGACATAATCAAAGTCCAACCTTTTTATGTAGTTGGGCTCGGCGGGCAGGAGTATCTGAACCTTGCGTTTCTTCTACGTCTGACTTCTATCAACAACATGACAGCCACGCCATGAACCCTCAACAAACCGTAACCGCCACAGGCCCTCTACAAAGTCAAAAGCCAAAGAGAAGAAAGTTCAGTTTAAATGTCTGGTGCTGGCATTGCATAGTTGCTGGTCAAATCCAATGTCGGTGTTGCATAGTTGCTGGTCGGGTCCAATGGTGAATCCTCCATAGTATTATAACCGAAGTGTAGGGAGTAGATTGTTTGAGTCTGGACAATATGTATGCAGCAAGTAGAAACCAATGTGTAGCTGGAAGTACAGGGCTGTTGTAAGCAGGTCCATTAATGCAGATCTGTAAGCAATCTGGGATTGCAAAGGAAATATTTGTCACAGATTACTTCCACAATGCAGAGAATAAATCACTGTAAGTTCCAACTCGAACATCAGGGGCAAAAAGAAATGCCAAAAACTCAATTCGCAGGTACTATCTCACAAATCACAATGCATGTAACCAGTCAGAAAAATAACTCACTCTCCGACAAACGCAGTAGCCAAAATACATGAATTTTATTTTCTCTTTTGCTTTTATCGGCCGAGCATTTATTTTCATTCGTCGACAACTGGGAGAGGATGCTCAATTTTTGCATATCAAAATACTTTTATAGCGACTGACTTGTTTCTAAAATATTCTGTCTTCAGCATGTCATGCGGAATACGTGCCCTTTTTTTTGGTAAGTAATTTTCTTTTTCGCCACATTTTCCATCGTAGGATAAACGCAACACACTGTTGTTTGGTTTGACAAGGTAAGTCACCATTTTCTTCACTATAAGATCAACCAGGTGAGTTAGGTTGAAGTAAGTGATGCCAGAAGTAGCAGGAACAAATGAGTAGCCAGAGTGAGAAAAAGGCCAGAAGTAATGAAAGGCAGGAATGCTGGAATTCAGAGTCTGTGTTAGCCAGAAGTACTAAAGGCTGGGAATGCTGGAAGTAAGGGTCTGTGGTAGCTGGAAGTAGGAAGCGCTAGGAAATGCCAGAAGAAAGATGTCAGAAGATAAGAGTCTGTGGTAGCTGTAAGTAAGGGTTCAAGGTAGCCAGAAGTAGCAAGGCTGAGAATGCTTGGAGTAGTAAAGGGCAAGAGTGCCGGTAGTAAGAATAGATAGGAAAGCCCAACTAGCATCCAGTTGGCAGACAATAAAAGTGAGATGTAACTCAATACATAACCCATCCAAGCACCCTGGCCACAATGGCTGCGTTTCTCCTCCTTGTCTCCTCTCTGCGCCAGGGTTCAGTAAGAAGTCACTGTGTAATATAGAAAGGGAGTGTAAACATTAGCCTGTCCTGCGAAGTACTAAAAATTTCAAGAAAATAAACCAGAGGTGCTATGAAATATAAAAGATATAAAAATGTCCATAAAGTGTATTCTGACTAGGTTTGTAACACTGAAAGAATTAAAAAGGCATTAGGCTTTTTATAAATGTAAGTGAACTTAAATTGAAGGGTGTGCACAATGCAATGAAAAGGTCAAGGTTATCAACATTAGCCATTGGTCATGTGGACAGAGAAGTGAAGGGCTCTGATATTCCCCACATACTGAAATTCGTTTCTTTTGAAAATTCTCAAACTCTTTTTTATAATTTTTAAGCAAAACATCTGTTACAAAGTAGTATAATGGCATGAGACTTTGGGGCTAAGAAGAACAGTTGGTTTACCCACACCAAGAAGATTAATGGAGACAGATAATGATGAGGAAAACATAGGTTATTTTTAACAAAACAAGATAAGGAATTTATTTACAAATTTACATGCTTGAAGTTGTGTCAGTAGCTCATTTCAGGAAAATAAATCAGAAATTTTGAAAGTCCATAGTTTTAATGAATTATCATGAAGAGGAAATGTTCATACAACAGATTAAATGATCTTACACCAAAAATATTAAAAGATTTTTAAAACAAAGTTAAAAGAGTTCATTGTTCATAGAAGGGATATACAGCTGTATGCATTCAAAAGTAGATGGATTGAGATAGTTTGAAATACTTGGATTGTTGAAATAAAACTCTTTGAAGTGCCAACTGCTTGGTTAAGGCCGATAATATAATTGGTGAATAATGTGACACTGGCAAAATTTTGAACACAAGACACATGAACAGAAACAAAACTTTTCATATGGCTTCGGACACACATCTCTTGTTGATTTAATTTTTTTCCTTATTTTATAAGAAAAAGGATTTCACGTAAGGTCACTATTCTCTTTTATTTATTTTTCTAGGCTTAATGGCTAATTCCTGTGAAAACAAGGTTTTCATTGGTCCAAAGAAAATTTCACATAGGCTCACAAATTTGTTTGTCATTTTCTAATTTTGCCGGCCAATCTCTGTGAAATGACAGTTTTCATTGGTCCAAACAAAATTTCACATATGCTCGCAAATTTCTTTCTGTCTTTTTCCTCAGCTCGCCCAAATTTGAAGGGAGTGGATAAAGGGAGTTATTATTTTGTACTCACCACAGTAGCATGTACAAATGACAGCAATTGTTAGAAAATTTTAATTTTGAGATGCAATGAAACAAGTTTTGAAACAATATATTGAAATTCAATAAAGCAGATATCTAGAATTCACAACTAAAGCAGAGTCCAATGAGCTGTTTAACTAATCCATTTCTTTACTACTACATTTCTTAGACTGCAGTCTTATTTGTTCCAGTTTTTCTTGTGAGGCACATAGATGCCATCTGTCTATGCATTGAATATTGTCTGGTCTAGTCTGCTCTGTCTGGTTTGGTGCTTCTGTTATGTGTTTAGAAATTTTTGATGAAATTCAAAAGAAGAATCTGTAATGTTATCAGTCCTGACCTAGCATCTCAGCTTTTTTCACTTTCCCACTACTGTAACATAACTTTTTTGTGCCTTTTCAATAAATATTTTCATGGTAGCTGTTCTGATGAGCTTTTATCTTCGGTATCTTGATTTTAAATGCAGTACTAGATTGGAAGCTCGGTCTCATCATTTTCTACTTCCTGTCAGCAGTAAATGTTAGCCCGAGAAGTTACAGTGAGTCACTGTCCTGGTGGTTAGCATCAGCCATGCTGATGGAAGGTAAAATAGTTTCCCTAAGATGGTTAAAAAAGAGTAGTTTCATTTTGGATGCGTTAAAATTAACAAACCATTTCTTGCCACAGTTAAGAAGAGATTGAAGGTTATTTTTGTGATCAGCTGCCAATTTGACCATATCAAAACAATCAGACTTACCATCAAGACAGGAGTAAATACTATAGTCATCATCAGCATATATACCAAGTTGAGAACTGATAACATCAGGAAAGTCATTGATGACAACTGGAACAATGTAGGTCCAAGGATATAACCCTGGGGGACATTCACATTAATACAAAAAGATCTAGAAGAGTGGCCATTAAAGATAACTTTCATTTTATGATTTGATAAGAAAGATTGAATCAAATCAAAAAAAAAAATGTCCAGAAATAACATAAAGAAGAACAGCATGTCAAATGCCTTTGAGATATGCAAAGAAAAAGCCTGAGCTTCAACATTCTTATCTAAAGCTTGATTGACTCTTTCAGCAATAATCATTATCACATGAGCAGTTCACCTAGTGAGAGTATTGTATGTGTA